GTACCTCATTACAATGTTGTGCACAGCCTTAAAGGATAGCCACTTGACCAAAAACGGGAATGATTCACCAAAGTTTGAGAGTGAGCATTTACACTGGATTTTTTATTTAGGTTTTTTGTTGTGTTTATGGGTAGTTGCCTAGCAACTTCCGACGAAACACCGGAATGTGAGGGAAAAAAAAGGGAAAAAAAATGTTTTTTTTGCTTGTAGTGTTAATGCAGTTATACATGTTCATGTAGCTTTAAGCTATACATGTACATGTAGTACATGTGATGCAATACCTTATATTTCCCCCACCCCAAGGCCCAATGCATGTTTATCATTGAGAGGAGTTGGGGAAAAGGCTGTGCATATTGCAGACTTTCTGGATGTACTGCCCACACACCTACATGTACATTACTGTACACAGTACCATCTTATGCACATCATGTACATTGTATAGTGTACTACCCATTGATCCTGATCCTAGACAGTGCATACAAAAAGGGATCAATAGAGAACTAATAATTAACAGTGGGTTAAACGTGTGTGGCTGGCTGGCTGGCTGGCTGGCTGACTGGCTGACGTGTGCAAATTACTCATCGACCCTCCTGGCTTGCTCGAGAGAGAATGAATGCCAGCTCTGCATATATATAAATCCACTATGTACTGTAGGCAATACCTGTGTAGACAGGATTTGTTTCAATTTGGAGGTTCATGAAACAATTTAGAGGATCAACGTTATAATCAAAGTAATTGAGATGTTCAGCTGGGAACAGAATGTTAATTGAATGATGTTGCCTTAAAATACATGTACTTTGTATTCTTAGGCATAGGCCTACATGTAGCCTACATGTACATAATTTTGAAATGAATGTTTTTTTTTAAAGCAAATACAAAAAACCCAGCAGTTATTGAGACGATCAGCTGGGTACAAATATTCTTCTTTTTTATGTTTTTTTATAACTAATATGGCTTCTTTTTAATCGCCTGTATAAGTAAACAAAGAACAAACAAAACCAAAACAAACAAATGTGAAACCAAAGAAAACAAACAATAACAACCTCTTCCCTTATGGCTCAATAACTCCCTAAAATGATAACCATTTCCTGAAAACATTATTGCACTTGTTTGTATGGACAAATTATTACGTACCAGTACTGTCTAAACCACCATAAAATGATAGAGGCTGATGAACCACTTGCAAACATGTGCAGTGTACAGATCTATACAAAGCACTTGTACATGCCTACAAGCCAATATGTAAATATTTGTGCGAGGTTTTATGGAATGTGCCTCTTGGTGACACAATTATTGTGACTTGCTGCTAAAGAATTTATTGCCCTACAGTGTATGAGGGCTCAAGGTTAAATGCTTATTCATACTCAACAATAATATTTATATACACTGTAGATTCAAGGTACTAGGAAAGTCATTTTTGTATTCACATTAGTAAATTATCAGGTATTGTAGTTTAATACAAAAATATACATGTAGGCTATTTGCAAATCTTGATTAATTTCTACTTTTTAAAATTAAAAGTTACAGTGGTTCAAACAATCTGCATACATAGGGCCCTATTACTTTGAAAACAGCCTTCTTTCCAAAAAGCAATTTATTTCATGACAGTATTTCCTTTTATTCTGCTGTGAAAGAGCTGAAACAGTAGCAGAAATCATTTGTAAAAGAAGCTCATTAATACTAAGAGGAAATGTGATAGTTGCTGTGAAAGAGCTGAAACAGTAGCAGAAATTATTTGTAAAAGAAGCTCATTAATAGGAAACATTATAGTTGCTGTGAAAGAGCTGAAACAGTAGCAGAAATTGTTTGTAAGAGAAGCTCATTAATTGGAAACATGATAGTAACTTGAAATGAACACTATTTTGTCTCAGATTTGTGTGTAATATGATGACATTGTTGATATGCAGTGACGATGTGTAATCATTGCCTCATATTTCACATTCCATTCAGCTCCTGTTTTGAGTTCATCGCCCAAGGTCAACTCAAGTCTAATTTAAAGGTACATGTACTTGTACATTGCTACGGTGATACTGAAACTTTAATGTACATATACTGTACATGAATGTCTAGACCTCCATCCATAGATAACTCTGCAAAAATGATTGATGAAGACCATTTCAAATGAACCTGTTTAAATGAATTCTTTGTATTTTTGGTTGTTGTTGTTGTTTTTATAATTTTGATTAATTGAGTTGCACATACTGTACATGTTCATTATGGAACACAGACATAATTCTTGTGTAGCATCGTCTCTACAGATTAGAGTTTGTTGGATTTCTCTCTCAATATCTTTAGATCTTTACATTAACGTGCATAGAAAATCCCTTATTGTTCAAATAAATCTTTGAGTTGATATGAGGTTCCTTTGAAATTGTGGTGGATCATTTTTCATGTAAACTACTTTCCTTAAACTCAATAATGAATAATTGGAATGTTACATTTACAATATATACATGTATCTCATACTCTAAAGCTCCTTGGGTGAGATATTCATTTTAATCATTAAATGTAGTTACTCATACTTGAGCTTTTTTCCAGCACTCATGTTTTTAAACAGTCTCTACTGTCAGGTGTCCCAAACTCATAGCTTTTACGACAACTATTTATTTGCTACATGTACAACATGTACATGTAAGTGCTTCTCTGAGACAGATAAGTTGAGCATCATGAAACCATGTGATGGTGCTGGTTGCCATGGTAGCAGTTCGTAGGAAATGAAAGTTGTTTTGGGTCAAGTAGAATGATGGACTGTCTGCCGATTCAAGATCAAATTCTTATATCCTCTGGGGCTTCCGTTTCTGTCACGAAACATGCAGAGGAATATGAATTATGAGTATGGAGTATGGCTGACAAAATATGTTGAAGACACTCCTTGTAAACCTGGTTGAATTACAATGGAATGTAATGTACTTTCCTTGCCAAGCAGAATAATTTCTAATCGGGTAGTACGTGAATAATAAGCTAATAAGCGCTAAGCGGCTGACCTACATGTACAGTTAATGGTAAATGAAGCTATGGGCCTAGCGTTTAATAGAGACTTTGTAGTAAAGCGCTTTATAAGCACCACTTTTTTTTTTCTTTTTTTTTAAAATCTACCGGTAGGCGAAATTGTCTAGACCTGGATGAACATATACTGTACATGTACATGTACATGTCTATGTGTAGATATGGCTAACTGGCTATGCCCATGTAATAAAGTTTTTTAGGGGAGGGGAGGGGGGAGGAAAAAAAGAAAAATATCTATCAATTTGATGATCACATTGAGGGTATGAAAAGAAATGTTAACTTTCTGTTCTGCTAGGAGGAAGCAGGATGAGGATAAATGCAGGAGCATAATTCACAAGGACATGCCATACATTTACATTTACATTGTATGTGAAAACATTTTGTATGGGGGATGTATCAAGTGAGACATTGTCATCTTTGTTTCCTAGTGATGTGCTCATAAAGGATACATGTAATTAAGTCATGTTGTAAACATGTTTTCCAAAAGGTGGAATTTAAAGGGAAAGTCCACCCCAAAAATAAGTTTGTTTCGATAGAGGCAGAATAATAAGAAAATCAGGTGAGTGAAAGTTTGAGCAAATTCTGAATGAAAATAAGAAAGTTATGAATTATTGAAGTTGTGATCAATCAAATACAAATTGGCAACTCTGTGACTTATCATACGAGCTCTCCTTCATTTGCTTTGTGCATAATATTCCATAAAATCATGTTTTCTTCGTTATTGATGACGGAATATATATTTGTTCCTTGCAGGGGGAGTATAGAAACATATTTGCAATTATTATATTTAGGGTACATGTATGGTTGAAATTTTTCTTGAGGGAAAATGAAAATTTTAGATTTTTTTAGTTCTGAGCAAATGGAAGTTGAGCTCGCATGATACGTCATAGAGTTGCCAATTTGTGTTTGATTGATCACAACTTCAAAAATCCAAACTTCCTTATTTTTAATCGGAATTTGCTCAAACTTTCACTGACTTGTTTCTCTCATTTTTCTACTCCTATTAAAACTAACTTAATTTCAGGGTGGACTTTCCCTTTAAGGAGAGTATGAATGAGAAAATAATTGCTTCTGCCTCCTTCATGTTCTTTCACAATGTACTACAACGTACATGAACATGATTAGCTACTTGTTGTGTTTCATGAATTTCAATGTCATTTTTCCATAGGGCCTAAAATAAAAACTTGTTGTATTGCCCTTTGCGACCGACCCAAAAATCTGAAAATCTATGGTCAGCAGTTAATTTTTTTTTTTTTTTAAACCTTTAAAAAAAAATTTTATTATTAATGAATAAAAAAATATGTACTTTGTTTGTTTAAATGGGATTTAAATGCATAAAATTAAATTATTCCCAAATTCTCACTCGTCTTCTGCCCTATTTTCAAAATCCTATTAGTGTAAACATGAACGTAGACCCAGGCCTCGTGTACATGTTTATACCATGCACTACAGTACACCAGCTAGAAACCAGGGAGACACCTTTCTAAAATTATACATATCAGCCAAAAGAGGACTGGAAAAAAATAAATTAAAAACTGAAAAATATAGGCCCATATAGGCCCATACAGGGCGAGAAAAAAAAAGTTAAAAAAAAAGTTTAAAAAAAAAACTTTTCAGACCAACCGACCCATGTTTTGGCACCTACATGTAAAGGGCAATACAACAAGTTTTGATTTTAGACCTAGTAAGAAGAATCTTTTATCGTACCAATCGCTTCCCAAGATAACACAAACAAACATCAAATACTCTGCAACCTGTTAATTAGACATGCTTGAATTCATAGCTACGAGTAAACGTTGTATGTTTCTTTTTGCCTTTCTTACTCGTTTGTTTTCCCCACAAAATCAGGCGATACACCAAGTATATTTTGTTTTACCATTTGAATTTCAAGATAACCTAACATCAAATACATTGCAACCTGTACATTATACATGCTTGGATTCCAAGTTATAAATAACTAATGTTTCTTTCTCCTTCTGCTATGTTCTCTACAGGATATGACATGTCAACATACATCAGGCGGTACGCCAAGTACCTCAACTGCAAGGCTCTAGCATTCAGACAAATGGCATTTGATTTCTGTCGGGCTAAAAGAGGGTAAGAACTCTTTACTTGTATATCCAGGAGTAATCATTAGCCTCAGGGAAAAAAATACTTACAAATTTTGGGGGGCTACTTTTCAAGCTTGCTTGCATGAAAATAACACTCTTTATTTTGTTTTGCATTGAACTAAATGCAATTTTTTTTTTTTTTTTTTTTTTTTTTTTTTGGGGGGGGGGGGGGGTTCTTTTATGACTTTCGGGGGGCTCTTTTATGACTTTCGGGGGCTAATTCGCCCCGAGCCCCCGTATATTTTTTTCCATGATTAGCCTGTAATAAAATATAAAGTTCTCTTGTAGAAAGAAGCATCATGTCATATGTTGAAATTTGATTTAATTTTCATTTTGTAACTTCCATGTAATTATGCATTCAACATATAACTTCAGTTCTTACACTTCCTATGATATAGGAACTACCTATAATAATCAAATCAAATCAAATCAAAGACTAAGGTTTCATATTCCCAATTTAAAATACATGTACATGTACATATGACATATTAATACATTGTATTGCTCAATTTTGATTGAAATGTTTTTCTTTGTGTCTATTTCATTCCAATAGGAAGGAAGAAGGAGTACTAAGAACAATGTGTGCAGAAAAAGTAAGTTTCATCTCCTTTGCTCATACAATTACCAGGTCTCGACACTAGCAGGTGCCCGTGACAAATGCCCACCTAAATTTAAGTCCGGAGCCCCCACATTTTGAAGATTTTACACAAGCTCATACGGGCCTAAAAAAAAGAAGATGTTGTATTGCCCTTTAACACTGTAGCTGCCAAAACATGGGTCGGTCGGTCGGAAATGTTTAAAAAAAATAAAAAATAATCCCTCTTTTGGCTGATATTTCTTAGTTTTGAAAGCTTTAATACTTTTTTTAAAAATTAAACGGTCGCAAAGGGCAATACAACATCTTTTTTTTAGGCCTAATGTATACCAACTGTAAAAGTTCAATACGGACTCTCTTCTAAGAAAGATTGTTTGGAGTCTCACATTTACGATCCACTTAAGGGTCGACAGTTGATATCATACTAATAAATAGGTTTTTTCAGATCAAGCAAAACATTGGTATTGCAAATCAATAAATCAATCTCTAGTCAAATGAATCAAAACAAGAATGAAATGGTATCAACAAGTGGTTTCATCTCAACAACCTGTACTGTAGATTGTTTGCTCTTGCATTGAAGTGTGTGCAAGCATGAAGATGTTGTTTAACCATCTTAAAGGGATAGGTTAACTTTTTTGAAAGTCTTTGCCTGTATTCCTATATCGACTCTAAATAATAATAATAATAATAATAATAGCATCAGACCAAGGAATGTGATGCTGAACAAAGAAATTAACGTCTGGCATATTTCAAATGTTTGTGCCTTTGTTCGCTTGACTGTACATGTAATTATCCTGCAAGTTTTATACATGTAAATGTAGATTGAGAATCAGATTATTCTATTCAATTTAACTAAAACTTTAAAGGGAGGCGTTACTACTTCAGCAAGAAGGGATTAGACCACCCAGTGAGCTATCGAGGTCACTGTGACAGGTGGCTATCTCATTAACTCAGCTCTCATTTGACATAAGAAAAAGAGGATCATGGGGGACCAACAGGCACCGATTTGGGAAGTTTTCTATATAGAGGGAGCAAGTAGCTACAAGTAGGACAGTGTGCCTTTAAAAGTTTATGAGCTGGTCACCACAGAACAGACAGCATCCTCTATATATTGATGTAAAATGAAAATAGGCCTATTATTTAACTGTGCCAACACTTCCCATAATGTTCTATAAAATAAATATTTCTATTGCTTGTCATTATTTTTTTCTTGTCTTCACAGCTCCTGAAAACCCTTCCCCCTTTGCAAGACCTAATGGATGCCCTACTAGACTTTGAGGTAAGAGAGTAAAAAAAGTATGAGATATGAGGAAAAAAGAAGAAGATATAATTCTTTTCTTTAAAAATCTAGACATTGAATGTAAGTCTACAATTTTGAATTTTTAAAAGTAGTATGTGTAGAAAGTCTCCCATCTCTATGAATCCTTACAAATTTCTAAACAAGATACAACTACATAAAGTTACAATGTACATAAAGCTTATAGTGTACGAGATAGCCACAAGTGATGTGGGGTTTGAGATTGAATGTGATCCTCGGCATCCATGCAAATTATGATGCGAGTGTCTTGTTACAGCATGCCCTCACATCTTTGATATTCCCTTGATTAAATCATGGATAGGGTCCATGATTAGATGGAGGGATAGTAATGGGATTATGGGAAGGGTGAGTTCTGATTAAAGATCACAAATTATTTGAGACCTTTTTCATTCTTTGTAAATGAATTGGAAGAATATCTTGATAAATAAAGGAGGTGCGATAGCTCAGTCGGTAGAGCAGTGGTCTCGTAATCCGGTCACCCGAGTTCGAAACCAAGGCGATGCGCTAGTGTCCTTTGGTAAGGCATTAATCTTCATTACCAGCCGCCGGCTGTCTGGTTGCTTACAAGCATTTATGCTTTTTTAGCAGTCAGGTAAAATAACCACCACCATAAAATTATCTCCTGAATAGGCTTGCTCTTCAAAATTTTAAACTAAACTTTTATGCCACCTGTGTGTGTGTAGTCCCACTCACCCACTTTGTGTGCAGTGCATGTGATTTTCAGTAAGATTGAGAGTCTTTTTATTTTGATCACTCCCAAGTCTTACAGCATGTACATTAATTTCTAATGACTCCGTAATCAGACCTTTCCCAATGGCTTTGAGACAGTTTCTTGCACAATTTTTATCGTATTACCAGAACTCAATTTCATCTTTCAAGGTTGGAAATCAAAATGAGATATTTTCCTTTAATACGCATATTACCTTCAAGCTAATCTTGAGTTCTGGTTATGGAAATTCATTTCAAGAGAAAGAGCTTCCAAGTAATCCCAAATTCTATATCATGCAGTCGATTGGTTGTTTTATTAAAACAATCAGAACTGCAGAAACACGGGTTGACATGGTTTATTTACTCTGGCCCTTTTTTTTCAGGAGCCCTGTTCATATTAAAACCAACATCGTTGCAGCACCAGTGTGTCTCTACAGCTGCAATGATGATGGTTTTAATATGAACAATATATCAGAACAGAGTTGACTCTAATTCTTAAAGTATATTAATAGCTATTTTGACAAATAGAATACTTTGAACCAAAATACAAATTTACCACCGACAGTAAATCTATTATTTACATGATAACTTTTTTTTAATAAATATAATTCCTTTAAAAATATGTGAAGGGTATGTGATATCAACATTTATTACTCAACTGTAATCATATTTATTAATGTGGGGTATAGATGTCAGGTATCTATGAGCTAAAGCATCTTTAGCCCAAGGCAACTCTCCCTCCAGATCAAATCTAGGATTCATTAAGTAGAAGAACCTGTAGCAAATTCAAATCAATTTCCAGAACAGAGCGTGCTGTGCTGAAACTAATGAAGTCACTTTATTGATAATGGATTCTTGTGACTGAGATGTAATCTGTATTAAGTAGAGGAAGGGAAGTTACTTACTACAGATGAACTGTGTGTGATTATTTAGTCTTTGATGATTCCAGTATGCAATATGTTGCTATGAAACCTAGACATAGCCACAGTTTGCAGTGTCAGTAATACAATTGTGTTTGTAAGAATAATGAAATTTGTTGAATTGACATCTATTCAGAATTTATCATTGTGTCCTCCAAATGATTTTATAGAAGAAGCACCTTTAAAGGTAATACAAAGTTTTGGGAAATTTTGAAAATTGGGTGGATAGTGAATCTTTACAATTTTGATATATTTGGATGCCCCTGTGGATGTATTATAAGCACTAAAAAAATTAACCCCTAAAACACTTCTGTTTTCGAGAAATAGCGCCTACGGCCGTACAATGGTAGCCGCGACCATGAAAATCTCAGAATATGTAGTTGTGATATATAATTTCCAAACAGGAGTACATGTAGCTAATCGGTCGATTTTAGTCAAGAAACATTGTTTCATAGCTAAATTGATATCTTGACCTTGAGAGGGAGCTATACAGCATAAAGAGTTTATCATTTATAATTTCATAACTTGAGACTCGATTTCAACCGGGACAACGATCACTGAATATTGTAGGATTGCATATGCTTCCAATATGTTAATTTGAACCAAATTCATGACCCCATACCAAAACTTTGAGTTTTTAGAACCTTTTTTTCTGGTACTCTTTTGTCTGTGTTTTTATTATATTCTTTTAATCCAGGTATTAAAACGTACGTATTTGATAAATACTGGAGGAAAAAGAAATCCTAAATAAGAAAACAATGTTGGTTAGGATACATTTCATATGCAGACAGTTTACTTTAGCATATTGCTCTGATGGTATTTTGTGCATGTGCAAAGACATGAGTATTTTTTTCTGTTTTTTTGCTTTGGGGAGAAAGAAAATTCATTATGTTGCCCCTCGCAGAATGTCGTCAGACGTAAATAGAGCATAGCGATTGGAAAGGGCACTCCTGCTTTATGAGGTGGAAAGCCTTACGTCTATATTAAACAACTATGGTTGACTGCATGCTTTGAAGTATGTTTTTGGATCAAGCTATGAGACAATGCAGCTCTTCTGTCTTTATATAAATGTGTATACTGCTTCTTGTCTTTCAAAATTTCTTCTCATAAGATTTCTTGTATTAAAAGATTCTACTTATAAAGGTAATTTTACGATAAGATTCTTTTCATAAACATTTATGAAATGGACTCTTGAAAGAAGACCTTCGGGTTATAGTTACTAAGTTTATCTTTTTCTTTTCCTGGCATCCATTTGACTCTTTTCCAAATGTACTCTTGTTTGTATTCATTGATTTTTCTTTGTCTTTGCCAAATAAATAATATTAATAAAAAAGATGCTTCTCATAAAAATTTATTCAGCATTTTATTAATCATTTATACTGTTTTTCTCTTTTTTTCTTCTTTCTTTACAGGTCACGTCCAATAATCTGTCCAATGGTGTAATAAATAGTGCATTCATGCTCCTGTTCAAAGACAGCATACGGCTGTTTGCATGCTACAACGATGGAATCATCAATCTCTTAGGTTAGTAGTCAAAGATACATTGTAGTAAGATCTACCGTTTTTGACAATCCACCAATAGTGTCAAATTGTGCAACATTAAAACAAACAAAATATAAATTTATTAAACAAGTATAAGCATTGAGTTATATAACTTTTGAAAGCTCTACCAAAGTTTTTTGAAATTAAATAAATGAGCTCTGTTAAAAAATTATAAACCAACAAAAAAGACAATCGCAATAAAGTTGATTAAAATTTCCTTTATAGGGGGATTTTGTTGTTGTTTTGTTTTGTTTGAACAATAGCCATCCTAATAGAGCATAAGTCAACAACACAATCAAAAGGGTTATTTTTTAAGCTGTTTAGAAACAGTAGTTGTCTAAAGATCTGAAAATATGAAAAAGAGCTTTTTATCCAAGTGTTCATACTTGTTCAGTCCAGAGTAGTGATTTACATTTAGGTGGTGTAGAAACTAGAGATAAAACTTTATGTGCTGAAACTTCATCATGCCATGATAGTGTTATGGAAATGCATTGTTCATGCTTCTTTCATGCCACTTTCACTACACACGTTTAGCTTCATCATGTTTCTAGAATGGTTACCAGAAGAGCCCTGCATCATTACATTATTACTAATCGCTATACCACATGTTTTAAGAATCAAAATTAATTAATTTGTGGTTTTCCTTCCATCAAACGATGTGGGTGTAGGGTGAGTCATTAATTATTTACAAGCTTTTACACATGTACCTGTACAGGGTAGATTGTGCTCTGCCAAATACTCCATCATGCGTAGCTGCGCCTTCTGAGTAATCCATCAATGGAATTCCAATTTGAAATTCCAATGAGAGATGAAGATTATTGGATATATGTCTGAGACTAATTATGAATTAGTTATTCATTTCCATTTGTAGACTATAAAATGAAGCATTTATGAGTGATAGGACGTATTTAAAGACTTGAAATGGTTTTAACAAATTAGTAAAAATTAATTGTGGACAGTGTATTCAGAGTTTTTGTGATAGCACAGAATTTTGAAATAATTATGTACTGACAATTTATTATGATTTTATAGACAAACATTTTGTTAAGTCGAGAATTTAATGTGATTGATAAACATTGATAAAACAGTTGTGTATCTAGGCTTAGTATAGATCTATAATTTAATGCAGTTAATATTAGACTTGACATGTTGATTCTTTTGTATTCATGTACACTGTAGCTATAGTGTAGAAGATAATTGCAATGTGTCTTTATCATGCCATGATCGTTAATGTTAGCACTGAAGAGTTGATTATGCCACTGAATCTAATCAACACCAAATCTAATGAAAATAACCTTCCTGTATGAGAGTTATAGCCTTGTGACCAGTGTAGCTGTCGCCAAACATCCATGTACAATATAATGTATCTGTTGACATTTAATACCCTGGTAGTATGATATATATCTTCCCTGAGAATACAAAGCATGTGACATATCTTGTACATTGTACCTTGCTGTGTCACTACAGAGTACTGAGATCCTTATCATATGTGTTTTGAGAATACATACATGTAGTACATTTTTCAGATGGTACTGTAGATGGATAGATTTGGGTACTAAGTAATATGACTGGTAAAATGAATAAATGAATTCAGTTTCTGTTATCATTTAGATCTAGATACCCTTGGTAGTACTATATCAAATTTTGACAGCCCTATTCAGTTATAGAAAAACAATCACTGAATGTGTTTCACTATTATTGAAAGGCCTTCTTTGCTGGCATCCTTTAATTCAAAATATCAACTTAAGATATTACAATACCTCTATGAAAGATGTGTAAGTTTAGTTTAATACAAATTTTGCACCCTATGAATTAAGGTTAAAATAATTGTAATAAAGTTTAGTTGAAGTCGAAGTACTCGCTTAAATTTTGGTGCAAATCAAAATTAGCATTCAGTGAGGGAATTAATATAAAATGTATTTCTTATGGTATTTATGATGTTTGGCTGTGAAGCATTTGGATCTCGCATGCAATTCCGGAGATAATCTATATCTTAAATCTTGAAATGACAATCCCTTTCAGCAGCTCCTGGAAGCTATCTTGGGATAATGATATGTGTCAGTTGCCATGGTGAAATATATATTTTTATGTGTGATTGGTTCTTCTTTAACTTGTAAGCTCTGTTTGTTTGTGTTGTGCAGAGAAGTACTTTGACATGGGCAAGAAAGACTGCCGTACAGCGCTGGACATCTACAAGAAATTCCTGATTCGCATGGAGAGGATAGGAGAGTTCCTCAAAGTAGCCGAGGTAAGGGCATGAATTTTAATACTCTTTCTTTTGACTAAAAAAGTGTTGAATTTTGTATGCTGAGTACATTTTATGTTCAAGATTGTTTTTGTTTATGTTAAATGCCCAAATCTGACAGTGGATCAATGAATTAAACACTAGTAACTCATCAAGTTTCCTTTGCATGAAAAGTCCAGACAGTACTACTTGTCTCAACCTGAAAATGCTGATTTTGAAATTAAAACAACTACATTTATTGCAAAGATTGTTCCAAAAGCTGTTTTAGGCTTACTCTAACCATCAAATAATATATTAAACCCTACATTTAACTCATGAAAATTCCATTACGGGAAATGATCTTGAGTTAGTGGCACTGTAGGGGTTAAAAGGAGGAAGCCGAATTGTATTCAAACTGTTGAAATGTTTTATTCAGACTGCATGCTCTGACATTTGTACTCTAGAGAGCTCTTTAACTTGGACAAAAACAACATTCAGCATCAACCACATTCTGACTTTGCTTTCAGACTCTGTTGTTTCAACCATCTTCCAATAGCCTCAGCTATAATACCACAAATGCCATAAAACATCAATATATCATTGCATTCATATGATATTGGATGGTTTTTAATAATCTATCCAATTGTAATACTTGAGCTACATGTACATGTAGGATATAGGCAAAATTATAGATATTCCCACAACTAAGAGCCAGCTAATACTATTATTTTCTTAATATTTATCCTAGGAAAACTTTAGCTGTAATACTATTTTTAGTTTCTGGTTTTTACTCCAGTACAATATTGTTGTATCAGGCCCAAATCTATGTTATAAAGATGAGTTGAATTTCTAGACTTAAAATCAAATATTTTGGTAGCTTATACATGCAGTGCATTAGCTTTTATGCATGATGAATAACAATCGTCAATTATATATCCTGTGCGGCCTTTTTGGCTTGGCTGTCAAATTTTCATGCATAAAGTTGGTATGAATTTCTGCCTCTTTGTTGTTCATTTGCCTGCAAATTGAAAGAGAAGGGCATTATCCATACTCTGTGGTCTTCTGGATCTAATACCCTCATGTTTTATTCAAAGAATGACGATATGAATACTGGCTTGAGGGATTTTCAATTCAAGGGTTAGGTATAAATACATAGCCACCTTTATCTCCCTCGTCTGCAACGCAATATTGAAACAGCGTATGAAATTGAAAATGCATACTGGTATTCTTAATGCATCAAGAGTCCAACATTTCAAGTATTAGGCATTACCCTAGGCACAGATATTTTTAATTAGAAAAGGTGTTTAATGAAAATTCATACAGTGTATGTACTTTTTCAAAAATAGAATAATGGTTTCTTTATAGGGTAGTCCTAGATATAAATGAACCATGTGCCTATTGTTTGTTTATTTAAGGTATTTACAATATTCTAATAGTTCTTTTTTTTTAAATGGTTGTTAATGTACGCCTGTACTTATATTTATTGATGTTGAACATAAATATGCCTGACTTTCAGTTAAAACTCAGCTTTTTATATATAACAAATATTAATAAAGCCAAACATCTTTGTACATTGAAAAAATGGGGTACCGGTACATGTTGGAAATGCAAATGCAAATGCATACCATTTTTAGGTAATTCAAAATTTTTGCTGCAAAGCAATTTTTTTGGGGGGAGGGGGGGGGGGGGAAGGGGGGGAGGGGGTTTATAACATATAAAGAGTAGACATGTTCCCTGTATAGATTAATTTCAGACAAAGTGGAAGAAATTATACAATGCTTTGAATGTGCTGATATAGGAGTAATATGATGACATCAAAGAAAAGCTGAGCAAGTAATAAATTTGATTCATCCTCTTCTCCCGGTCTTGCGACTGATCATTCAGCAACGTTTGTTTATACAGATGCAGCGAGGGTTTCAATTAAATGTGATTTATATGAGGGACTTGTCATCCTCTCCTGCCCCGCTCGTCCTGTTTTTAAAAGGATATCCCTCATGCAAGGAACATTAATAATGTGCAAAGCTGCAAAAAAAAATTCATTTGCGTACCTGGGTTTCACTTTGTTGTGTAATGCCCTGAGAAATAATTACGGTCATGTGTGGTCCTACATGTAATATCAGTCATAACTTTGACATTTTTTTGTGTGGAGAATACATTGATTTAAATATATTGTCTGTTAGAAGGATGTTAACAGTGTAAATTGCTATCAATATATGCCTTTTTGGCTGTAAACAAACATTAAAATGGGAATAATGGGAAAATGTGTTTGGTTTTGGAATGATATATTTGTAAAATAGTAATAATAATAGTGTATACATCTAACGGGAGAGTATCAACTCTGTGTAAAATGATGTAAATTTTAGTCTGATCAGATATATTAACGTAGTCGGCAATAACATTTTGAGCTAGATATTTTATTTTATGTTCTGAATTCTGAATATATCGCGCAGATGATGCTATAATCCTGTACAAATTGGAAAAGATTTCATCACTCATGTTCATGAATAATTTATAACTATTTTCTCAACCATTTTTTTTCTTTTCATTATCACAGCAAGTGGGTATCGACAAGGGAGAAATTCCAGATTTAGCGAAGGTAAGTAGGCCAAACTTCTAGCTCACTAAATGTGTTATCTGTATCTGTCCTGTTTGGCATCATGTGTTCTATGGTCCTATGTTGTCTTGTGGCATGTATAGTTGAGGATCTTGGTAAATTTTTCACCAAACTTTTCCCCAAAAAAATATGTCAATCGTAGATGTGCAAAAGCATTGTTTCAGTTCAAAAGTCTGCCATGCAGTGTCGTTTGTTTAGTGTAAAATGTATACGATTGTGTTTATTTAGCAAGGTACAATATACATGTAACTCTGTATGACTTCAATGTATTTTTTTACTTGTTTCTTGTGTTTACCTTTTGTTGAATCATTAATACTTTAGTAGGGATCATTTGATATTATTATTATTATTATTATTATTATTTTTATTTATTTATTTTTTATTTTTATTTATTTATTTATTTATTTATTTATTTATTTTTTTTTATTTTTTTTTTTTATTTATTTATTTATTTTTTTTTTGGGGGGGGGATGGATTGGATTCAAAATAATTAAAACAAGTTTAATACACTGTACATGTTTGTGTTCCTGTATATCAGCAAAGCCTTGTACTTTAAAGAATTTAAGAGCATGGAAGTTGTATGTGTCATATTTTACAAGAAATATATCGATAATATTGATATTGCAGATGATTTAAAAAGAGGAATGTGTAATAAGAAGAGATAACAACAACAAAAAGCTATATTTGAGAGATAGAGAGAGGGGGATAGAGAGATGGAATAAAAAGAGAAATCATTTTTAATGTTGGCTGAAAGTGATACCAAAGATGCTCTAGAAGAGGGGGGGGGGGGGGGGGGAGAGTTAGAAATGCACAATTTGTTCAGCATGTTGGAATGGTATTGATTGACTGTGTAATTGTATATCTTTCTGAATGTTATCTTGCATGTAATTTACCTGCAGTTTGGTGATGTGCCACCTGAATATAAAACAGTGAGTTTCCTGAATGACCCCTTTTTTATTATTCCAGAAAATACCTATACAAGCATTCCAAAAGTTAAGTTTATACTATGCATTTAGCTCAGCCTATAATATATCCAAAGCACGTATCAATTGTTTAAATAGCAATAATGGATGGTACAGCTGATGTGTTGACACAGATGAGTATACTGTCCTTATATAGAATGAAGAAAGGATGACAAGTGTGTATTACACGTGCTTGCTACAAAAAGAAAGTTTTCAGTTCTGAACATTTAAGTCAAGTGTATCTGTGTACCTGAAAATATGTTTCACTGAGAATATATGAACAAATTCTGCTTTGCCATTCATGTAGTTCCCCCTCCCCCAAGGTTATGTTATGATCAGGACCAAAAAAAAAATCATGTTTTTTTCCAAAAGAGATTGATTTTAGGGTAGGACAAACTATTTGCACAGTATAAACTATAAACTTGGCTTATTTACATATTGTTTTTAGAAATCATGAATTGCAATAGGCCTGTCTTCATCAACTGGAGTTTGCCAGATAACCAGCTATTATAATTATCCCGATCGCAAATTATCCAGCTACCTAGCAGGATATTTGGTCGAGAAAATATCTGGAGAAATCTTGGTCTTGTTTCCAAAATATATCGCTATATGGGAAAGAAGCAGGTTATTTGGCAAACTCAAGCTGATGTGGACAGGCCTAATGCCACTAACCCAACTATAATCTGGTATTCATAGTACAGCATAAGATGCACATTTACGTCTTGTTGTTTGAGTTGCAGTGTCCTAATATGTTGTTTCCATGGAAACCACTGGATACGGGTAAGGTGAGGCAGTGTTTGGTTTTTAGCGCTGGCTGACTTTTGAACAGAAGCAATGCATGATACTGTTTTTATTTTGTTTTGATACAAGTACACATGTACATTACATTATAGTATTGTTTTGGCATGATCGACCAAGTATAATTTGAAATGAGAAGAGTTTATGAGTAGTGAAGTTTTCTTTCTTCTATTACATGAATTATTAACCCATACATGTACCTATGTTATCATTCACCATTTCATCATTTATTGTGATAACTATATGTATAACTCCTTCATTTAAGAACTCATTTGCTTTTCACCACTTCACCACTTCATCCTGTGACAACCAGGGACCTGTTTCACAAAGCCTTCTTTCGATGACAAATGACAAAAATCAGTTACAAATCTGCTGATAACCAATCAGAAGCAAGGATATCAGTAGCTTATAACAAAAACTGTCATTTGCCACTGATGACAAGTTTTGTGAAATGGGGCCCAGGTCAGGAGATCGCACAATAACTTGAATTAGTTTAAACAAAGATTCATTCAAATATTCATTTTTTCCAAAAACACTTCCAAACTGGAACTCTTTACCACCATCCATAGTTAACATTCAAGATCCTTACGTATTCAAGGCTAACGTGCAGCAACATTTTCAAGTGGAGTGTGGCCTAAAAAACGATTAGACAGTGACAGAGTGTTTTGTTTGTTCCGGGAGAAGAATCTGCCATGAAGAAAAAAATGTCGCCTAGGGGGAAATCTTTTAAAATTGCTGAAAAGGATACACAAGGCCTGTTAGTTTTTAATTCAGCTCTGTAATGTTTATAAAAGCTCATGGTTGTACACATAAATGTTTTGACCAGGCCCCCCCCCCCCACTCAAGGCCATATTTTTGATTCAACTCAACTCCTAATTCATGTACTCTATATACTTCTTGCAAAGATTTGCTATCAAACATTTAACAGAAAGTACATGCGTTATGAATTTAAAAATAAATTTCACTGAAATAGCCAGTTATACATTTCTGTACTTGAATACATTTCAATCTTTACACCTGAAATTTACATCACATCACTGAAATATACCAATTTTTATCTTTTTGCATTTCGTGCTTCTCAATATCCATTTCTCAACTTGCTTATATGAGAGATGTAAGTCATGTATACATACATAGTCAATCAAACCGATTTAAATCTCTTTACGGTACCTCACCCTTTTATACAGCCCTTCTCACTTACATGTATGTAAATTAACATATTTATTTGCTTTGGAGCCATTCACATTTTTTTTTTTTAGTTTGTTTTACAACAATTTTGCTGTTAATGACGCATTATTCCTAGCGATCACATTGTAATGTCAAAATGGAGTATAAAGTGGTACAACAACATACAAGAAAGTTGTAGTTATAAAAATTAGACCAATTACTTTTTAATAAAACAATTTACCAGTTAATTGACCAAAGTGCTAACAGTATTAGTAGTACATCAGTTTAATACAGTTGTACTCATTTGAAAATGTTGCTATTGCTATGTGCTTTATTGAGCCAGAGAAGATGCCATGAAATATTTCAAAATGAAATATGTAACTTCTTACAGAAATTAAAATGCACTGACATCTGTCTCATCTTATCATGCCTAGAAGTCATTTTGTATTAAAGTTTATAATTTTTTACTGAAACATTTATTTTGCAGGCCCCAAGTAGTCTGTTAGAAGCCCTTGAGCAGCATCTGGCATCCATCGAAAGCAGCAAAAAGTCAAACTGGAACAAGTAAGTATGACGATGGTATAATGTAAAAATGCATGTGGAACATAACAACATTTTGGGTGTTTGATGCTTTATTATTCTTAGTAAATAGTAATTGTATCCATTAGGATCTCACAGAAATAATTGTTGGTATGCTGGTTGTGTAAGAAGAAAAGCAGGGCATCTAGTTTATGAAAATAATTGCACCCAATGGAGCTAATTCCCACAGGAATGTGAAGAGCCCTTTTTAGAAAAAGCTGTCCTTCTCCACTTTCTATGTTTTTGTAATTGTACCTAGAAATATCCTGAAATTCAGCTTTAATTTGTATTTGTGAGTTACATGCCAATACATTCTAAACTCAATAAATTCATGTACAGTGTGATCTATAAATATAAAGTACATTATTAAAGCATTGTATTGACAATTAACTCATTGACAACTGAGTTCTCCCATTTCCATTGACTTAATACAGGGACTTCCCAGTCCTGGCAAGCAATGGGTTCATAGATCTACAGAGAAGCATATGTGACCTGCATTTTGCTTGTATATTGCTATCCCTCAATACCAAAGAATATTGTCTCTTCACCTTGCACATACATGTACACTGTAGGTATCTTGATATATATATGTATAATCTAGATCATTCTTTCACTGTCATTCCTTCCTATTTTTCTCCTATTACATATGCAGAGCCAATACAGTCCAGACAGTTTTAAACGCATTCTCATCATCAGCAGCATCCATCGACGATAACGACAAGAAGAAGGCCCTCGAGGACGAGAAGGCAAGATTAGCGGCACTCAAGGCATGCATATTTTGTCAGTTTTTTTTAGTGAAAGACCTTCCCTATCCCATCATATTTTCTCTCTTTTATTGCCCTCTTTCTACACACACCTTCTGTCTGTACATCTTTGTTTTATCTCTCTTAATCTAACCCTCTTTTTCTTTTCTCTTGATTTCTATCTTCTATCTCTCTCTCTCTCTCTTTTTCTCTCTCTCTCTCCCTCTTTCTCTTTCACTTTCTCTCTCTCACTCTCTTTCTCTTTTTCTCTCTCTCTCTTTCTCTCTCTGCCTTTGTCTCTCTGTCTCACCCTCCCTCCCTCCCCCCTCTCTCTCTCTCTCTCTTTCACTTTCTCTCTCACTCTCTTTCTCTTTTTTTTCTCTCTCTCTTTCTCTCATCCTCCCTCCCTCCCCTCTCTCTCTCTCTCTCTCTCTCGCTTTCTGTGAATCTAGACTTTATATTCATCTCACAATCTTTTTCCTTCTTTCTTCTTATCTCTTTATTGGCCTATTTTCAATTTCTCTCTTTTTATATCCAGCTTATTTTCTCCTCTCTGTGTATTTTCCATCCATTCCTCTTCTTGTTTAACGATCCTTGTAATCAAACGTATTTTTACATTGTTGAATAGTATCCTTGAAAAGAGGAAGCTGACGATAATATATTGAAATGTGTAGGCCTGGAAGGGAAGATTATTCTACTTACAATACACTTATAGATGAAGACAGTTCATTCAAGTGTGTCAGATGGATAGAGACTAAAAGCCTTATCCTTGAGCTTACCTTATTCAATCTGGGTTACATAATCATTGATACTTCTATGAGTTGAATACCTTTACACCGACTTGAAAGCTAGCCAATCATAGTGGCATTGAAAACTTAAAAGAAATACTGTGCTGCTTGATGTAACAATTCATGTCTTATGTAATATGGATTGGTGATTCCTAGAAAACTGGATACATCTCTCAAAGAGTTATATGCAAATGATATGGAACTGAAATGATACATATTGTATGTGAATGTTGATGTTCTCTCTTCTATACCAATTTCTGTATGGTTTATCAAGAAAATGATATATATACTGAGTCAGCATATATTACTACATGTACATGTATGTAATATATACATGTATGTGTATGGGCTTTTTAATTGTTATCCCTACCACCCCACAGTTATGCATCTTTAGATTGTGGAATTGTTCCCCTGTGGTTTAGTTACTATTTATATTATACATTTATCTGTAACATCTAAAGTGCTCTGATCAGACTTACAGGGTTTTGTGTGTGTAAAGCTCAATCCTATGGTTTCTGACTTTATTCAACTTTTTTTCATCATTTTCAGATACATTAATTTACTCAATGGATGCTTGAATGGTCACCAGATTCAATGTATTAGATCTGGGGGGCGTTTCACACACCCTGTCATCAGTGACAATTGACAGTTGTTGTTATAAGCTACTGAAATCCTTGCTTCTGATTGGTTATCAGCAGATTTGTCACTGATTTTTGTCATTTGTCATTGAAAAAAGGCTTTGTGAATGGGTCCCAGAACTTTTTATTGTAAGAGGCTTTATACTTAAAGAAACGGTACACAAAGTATCTGTATGTTCTTGCGATTCAAACAAGGAATGGACATGTTAGGAGTGGAAAGATTTTATGAAGGATGTTTTCCTTGAAAATATTCCTTCTCGTTCCTTGCCTCAGATTACAACTCTTGATTACAACACGGTTAACTACTGTAATCCTAGAATGCCATCATTTTTAACGTGAAAGTGTGCGGCTGAGGCACCGGTATCTGAAATCTGGGCACTGTATTATAAAGAGTTGCAATCGATTGAAATCAATCACAACTTAAAATTGATTGCAACTGTGTAGAGATTGATTTTGTGTTTAATTTCAAGTTGCGATCAATTCAAGTCAATCAAACTCTTTATAAGACAAGGCCCTGAGTGAATGTGCTAGAATTCGCGATTCCCTATCAATCAAATCCAGTCGACAGGTTCTCCCAAATTCAGATATGACTGGGATTTTTTTTATTCCCCACTCCTTGCATCGTACTAACTCACTTTTTACGGTAATGCCATCTGCCACACCTGTCACCTATAGCCTGTAACGAAACATGACATATTTGTACAGTCAAACCTGCTTTAGTGACCACCTGTCTACAAAGACCACATTTTTTTTGTTTCCCTTGAAAATGGTTTCTCATTGAAACATGCACTGAAGGAACCTGTCTACAAAGACCACTCTTTGTGTTTTCCTTGGGTGGCCGCTATAGACAGGTTTGACTGTATCTCACCATCCATGTTGCTATTGAGGCAACTTGCCTCATTATAGTCGTGCACATTGTCAACATCCGGCGGTGTTTATGTTTCTTGACTTCAGAGTTTTAGCCACACCTCTCAGAGTTTTAGCCACACCTCCCAGAGTTACAATGAAGTGGGAACAACCATCCTGTTTGACTTTAATGATCAGGTATCCCTTTGTCTTGGTGAACGCGGACACTCTCTCCTTCCTCAGGCATGCGTTCATCCTGCATCATCATTCGCATCGTCTTGCCTTTTCCCTCCACCAATTCTGATTTTAAATTTCGTCCAAATCTTAGATAAAAGTTCTTCCAAGTAGCAGACTTAATCTGTACCAGTTTTATGTTTTAGAATCTCATTAAAGACATTCCACATTGTAGACTGCACAAAACTGTTCTTGGCTTTCCCATCAAATTCAAGTTTTTGTAGAGTAGCAGACACTACATGTATGATGGTATATATTAAGAGATGGCCAAACTCATTATTATTCAGGAACTACAAGGTGCATGTAAACCAAGTAAACCATCAAAATTTCCATGATTTGAAATCTTAAGATTCATCCTTTTGATGACAAAGCCTGAAATATTCAAATTAAATCCACTGAAATTGCATGCTTAATAAAGATGTAACTGTCTTTAGTGAAAGTAATCCAAGAAATTAGATTTTAAACTTACTTTTTCAAGCTGTAGAATATTGTAGATTAGTTAAAGCACATTTGATGAAATCAAAATTGAAGACTCTTATAACTGTTCCTCACTCACTGAACAGCCTAGTACACTGCCAATAATTACTTTTTTATCAGATTTTCATTGTAAAGTCATTGCATAATGTAAGAAAAACAAAATAGATGAGATGACGTTAAATCAGTCTTTCTCTCACACTATTCCTGCATGTCACCTTACAAGCATGATGTAGTGCATTTTAAGCATATTGCTCATTGCATATCTGAATGAATTTAGAGTAAATTTGGAAGAAAATTCTATATACATTGTAATGCCTAATGCATAGACTTTGGGGAAACCCCCTCAGTTCAGTCATGAAATCTACCCTGTAACTGACGAATAGGACATTTTTTTTTATTTTTAGCAGTTTGCATGTGTATGTGTAGGGATCATCAGAAGAAGAAAATTGCATGCTTTTTAAAGTAACTGTAGGTGAAAGTATGCTACATTGTGCATCTTGTTTTAATATAGCAGAGTCTGCACACCAAGTCTGCTGGAGACATGTAATTAGTACCCTTACGAAGCCCCACAAAATTGATTAACCTGTTAATAAGCTCATTAGCTTATCGACATGTTAGGTCCAACAGAAGATTTATCAATTGCCCCGGTAAGGAAAAAGAATCTCTTATCAAAAAGGGCAGTGAATAAGCTTGGGATTTTTAGATCCTTCTTAAATTTCCTCAAATGTTCATGGAATTGTCTTGAATAATCAAAGTAGGATTGGAATGACTTTGTGCCATATTGAACTATTAATGCACTGGCATCTTTTACATGGCATGTTCAGAAAGAATGGAAATCTCTCAGGATTGACTTAAACAGGAAAATTACAAAAAAATAAACAATATATTTCTACATCCAGTATATCAACATGAGCCACCTTGTTATAATATACCTGGAGTTGATTTTTTATGTTCCTTTTTTAAGCATCCATATGTAAATCATTAAAATATGGTCGATTACAATAATAATAATAATGGCAGCAGTAATAGCAGCTATAACAATAACCTAAAAATCAACAACAATAACAAGAGTAACAACAAGAGCAACAACAACAACAACAACAACAACAGCTGCAACTACAATAGCAGCAAAAACAACAGCTGCAACAGGAAGAGCAACAACAACAAAATCAAGAGCAGTAGCAACAACAACAACAATAAAAAAAAAAAACATTCCTTTGAATGTTAGCATCGTGCTGGTCTTTATCCCAATATAATCTGCTGTAGCAGAGTGTATACAACATATACTTTTACCATTAACCAAATGCCTACTGGAAGGGTACAGTGGTAACAGTGGTTCCTACAATGGTTCTCATGTTAAGCTTATGAGAATGAAAGAATGCGATGGTCCAATGGGTTAAAGAAGAAAAGAAATATTTAATCTGATCCCCTCTGGCCTTGTTGTACAGGAGCAAAGATTGAAAGAGACCCAGCAGTCGGAGCAGTCCATCACTTTCACGCCGGAGCCTGTAGTCCAGAGCACCCCACAGATGGCAGCAGCACCAGCAGCAGCTCCAGCTCAAACTTCAAACCCCTTCATCACCGCCCCAGCGCCAGCGGCACCCCAACCTGTCGCAGCATCAACATCCGGCCAGGATCTGTTTGCCGCCCCCGCAGGTTTGTCCAAAGAAAAGCCTCTCTATGTGGAGTGGTGTGTGCAATGTTTTGTAACCACAAGCAAAAGGCGCTATATCTTTTGATTGATTGATTGATTGATGTAGAAATCATAGATACAAGGGACATTACTTCAAATATGAATATGAAAACGTTGGGGTGACTAAAATTCTCCTATGATATGGAAACTGCCACAAAAAGACCGATAGCACAGTTGGTAGAGTAGTGGTCTCGTAAGCCGGCGACCTGGGTTAGAACCAAGGCAATGCGCTAGTGCCCTTTGGTAAAGCATTAATCCTCATTACCAGGTCCCTCGGAGAGGACCTTAAGTCGTCTATCCTCTGGTTGCTTACTAACAAACATTTAGGCTTTCATAACAGTCAGGTATAACCACCACTACTACTACTAGAGCCAATGATCAACTCACATTTTTTGCTTGTCATGGAGGGATTGATTAGAGTTTGTTGTACGTCTGATGTGCAATTTGCATAACTTGTTTTGCCCCCCCCCCCCCCACACACAGTGAACAACAACAATCAACCAGGCATGAAGCCCTCACAGGACCTGATGTTCCTCCAGTCCAACCAGATGACCACCATTCTCCATGCTCAGATGGCCACTCAGGCCATGACCTCCAACCAACCTCCGCAATGGGGGGGATCACCAAATGGTAAATACCTCCCTTCCATCCTCCTCTCTCTCTCTCTCTCTTTCTCAATCACTCTCTCCCCTCTCTCCCTACCCCCTCTCTCTCTCTCTTCCTCTATCTCAGTCTCCCTCTCTTAATCACTCTCTCTCTCTCCCGTTTTTTTTTCTTGCATACAGTTTTAAAGCAGAAGTGTTACCCTATTAGAACAAACAGTCGCTTGGGATTTAGCTTGGGATTTACAATGCAAGGATATTAACACATCTTGACCTGCATAAGGAGAATGAGCTGAAAAGATTGTTGGGTTGGCATACAAGATTTGTTACTGTGTGCTGTTAAATGGTTGTTGAAAGGCTAACGATGGAATGAAGCTCACAAAGAAAAAACATGCTGTTCTAAACGCTTAATTGATTTTCTTCATTTCACATTATCATTCTGATGTATACATGTATTCTCCAAATAAAGAACGGTAATTTCACACATTCCTTTTCAACGCATTTATAAGGAAGATGTCTTTTATGAAATAAGTCCATAAGTGAAATCATGTTTTGTCATGTGGATCAAGTTGCCACAAAGTTTATGTGGAAATCTCTTTTCTGGTTTGTTTTAAATACTCTATCCTGCACCTCCTGAGCAAACCATTGGTACAGTTGTATACACACACTATTTCACTCCTAGACTGTTCTATGTCTACCGATAATTCAGTAGGTCCACAACATTAGATGCAAAGAAAGGGTAGAAGAATTGGGAACATCCAACATTTATGAATTCCTGTTCGTTTATTAATTGATTTTGTCTTTCCAACCAAGTTTTGGAGTCGTACCAAAATGCATCTAGAATTGAATTGAAGGAAAAATCCCTTTTCAGACATTCTGTTCAAGTTTTGAACCCAGGTATAATTTCTCGATGTTCAGATGATGTTGGAATTCTTTTGTCAATATTGCCTGAAAGCTTGGATGGAAAGATGAAGTCAATGACTACATGAACACAAACCTCAAGCATTTCCACTCTTCTTGTACCTCTCCAGGGGTTTTGTTTGTTTCAAGAGTTTGCCAAGACATGAGCTGTGCTTAACTTTCAAACGCTTTTACCTCTTTTACCATGCCTTGTGTGATAAAGTGATACTGAAAGTTGAAAAAATTATATCCTTTTAAATGATAAAATCATTTCTACTTCACTTAGCTTTATGGAAAGAAACTATAGGAAAAATAAATTAAGATTAATCTTCACAATTTGCCCTTTATCCGGTACTTTCTCAGTCTATACTCTTATGCTTTTTACACGTATTGCTCTTGGGCAGCTGTCTCCCAGTCTGTCCCCATTGACATCCCTGGTCAATCCATTGAGGCCAGTCGATCAGCTCCGGCCAGCTATGTGGACTCGCTGGGTCTGCTTGCTCCGTCTTCACTCCCAACCAGTACTGTATTATTATCTGTGTGCACTATGCTAGCTAGTTTAATATCAGTTATATGGTTGTGAGACCTTGTATGTCTTTAGGTCTGGAAGCTCGTTTTACATGACCCCTTTCCAAAGTGAAAAAGCGAAAGTAGTTAAATGGATAAAGCATTGACAGGCAACATGGAAGATTCTAGATTTGAAACCAGTTCATAGTTTTTGTATCCTTTCGTATTGTACCAAGACCAAGTCAGTGTGGTAATATCCTACAGTCTGTCATTTAGACCTCCGTTTACTTTAGTCCTTTAGGCAAGGCTTGAAGTCAGTACAGTACATGTAGTACCCCTTAAAGGCATCATTTAACAATGTTAAATCTGAGATGCATGGCCCTACATGTTATCAGTGTCTGTGATATGGTGTAATATTGAAGCCCTAAAATTTCAATTTCCAATCATAAATATCTTGATAATCAGACAGGCGATCGGCTTGTAAAAGTCATGGGAGGCTTGACTGACCTAAAGGTTCATAATTATGATTGCAGCATGAGCTAAATCCAGGATTTTTCTTTTAGAATCTGAGGCAAAGTTAATTAATACCCAAGCCCTTTAATAATAATATGCCATTAGCCCTTGGTTCTGTATTCCTGCGAGTAAAACCAAGTCAGTGTGGTAATATCCTACAGTCTGTCATTTAGACCTCAGTTTACTTTAGTCCTTTAGGCAAGGCTTGAAGTCAGTACAGTACATGTAGTACCCTTTAAAGGCATCATTTAACAATGTTAAATCTGAGATGCATGGCCCTACGTGTTTATCAGTGTCTGTGATATGGTGTAATATTAAAGCCCTCAAAATGATCATGAAGTGCCTCAAAAAAGTATACATTTTTAAGTGACTAGTTTTACCATACTCATTTTCCCCAATAGACTGTAGTGTTACAAAAACCATTGTATTTTGATTTGATTTGATTTTGATTTCCAATCATAAATATCTTGATAATCAGACAGGTGATCGGCTTGTAAAAGTCATGGAGTTCCTGACTGACCTAAAGGTTTATAATTATCATTGCAGCATGAGCCAAATCCAGGATTTTGTTTGAGAATCGGAGACAAAGATACCCAATGCCATTAGGCCTCAGTTACTTTAGTCCTTCAGGCAAGACTTGAAGTTAGAACATTACATGTAGTACCCTTTAAGTTGCCATTAGCCCTTGGTTCTGTATTCCTGTGGGTAAGACCAAGGCTCTGTGGTAATATCCTACAGTCTGTCATTTATCCCTCAGTTTTGTAGTCTGATGGGTAAGACTTTAAGCTGTGCGTTCCCTTGAACTCATTACAAAGAAATCTGTATCATGTGATCTGGATATTTCGTGCAAGCCAATTACTTCTATGTCACCCAGTAATAAAGAATGTTGGTAGTAGGGGCCAGCTTCCCTATCTCCCAGTTTCAGCTGTACTAAGTGACTTATCCTACGTCTTCCTCTGTTGTTGAAGTGACATTGTGTCATCGATTTTTCCTTAGTCCCTTCTATAGGCAACAGTGTAGGTGTGACTTATACTGATTATTGGTACAGTGTAGTTATATGATACTTTGGGCTAGAAATTCCAAGTAACTGAGGCTTCTTCAAAATTATGATATACATGCAAAAGTTATGATATTGATTGCTCTAGGATGTTCATATCTATCAAACATTAGAACTTGCATTATTATAAATTTTAATGTTTGGATATCAAGAAGCAATGTAGTTACAGGGTAATGGGATTGGTGAATTAATTGTAATCTTCTTTCTTCTCTTTCCACCCCATACATGTACATTTAACCATGTAACATATCTATTTGTACTTAATGTACTGTTATTTATACATGTACATCCCGTTGTGTTAACTTATGTACAATGGTAATCTATGGATATATCTTTCCGCTATGGTTATGATTGGTTATAATTGTGGGTATTACTCTGTGTAGACATGGCAGGATCCTTAGATCCTCCTAACCCCTTTACCTCAAGTAATCCCGCAACCCAAGCTAATGTAGATCAACCCCCATTCCTGGCTGATTTTGATGGTCAAGCCCCCGTCCTGGAGCACACTGACCAGTCTGTTGAGCCCGAGGAAGGTGCTAGTAGCACCAAACTTGATCCCTTTGCTGGCATTGAAGATGATTACATGAAGACTAAAAAGGGCGCTGACCCCCAGGGGGATCTCCTGGCCCCCTTAGCGCCTCAGACGTTTTCCATGAATCAGTTAGATCCTTTGTCTCCCAGTGTTGCTTCCGATGGTTCCCTCATGACCACCCAAGCCCCCTCTCAGCCCGTGCAGGTGCCAAACTATTCCCTATCCTTTGATACAGCTACCCCTGGCTTCCTACCAACCAGTGACTCTGTTGCTCCCAAATCACCCGCTCGCAGTCCTATAACCCCAAATTATTCCCCTATGTTAGACCCTATCAGCCCCAATGCGTCATCAGCTATTGACCAAGCAGCCCCCAAGTCTCCGTTCGGTAGCCCTGCAGCCCCTAATTATTCAGTGTCGTTTGACCCAATGGGCCTTAGCCTGTCCCCAGCCAAGACTCCCAAGTCACCTGCCATGAACCCCAAGTACTCCCCTACCCATCACCCCACCCCCTTCCCATCCCCAAACCCATCCCCCCAGGTTCCTCTGCAGAATACCCTGGCTTCGTCGTCACCCTTTGTGACTAATCCTTCATCAGACTTTACCCCCATCACCACCGCTTCAGATGACACCCAGGGAGGAACCCACTCCTGGGACGTCGACAAGCCCTCTGAGATAGAGTCCATCTTTGGAGCTCGACCTTTGACCCCGTCTACTTCTGCTACAGTAGACCAGGGTGTCCTTGGACAATGCTTTGAAAGTAAATAGATCATCTGTTGTGGTTATTTAAGTGTTGATGTCTTTATATGAGCCCTCAGTTATTCTCCATGTTCATATTTGATGGATATTATATCTCTTGTTTGTTTTCATGTGAAATTCTCAGCGCCAATGGTTACAGTATAATCACAACTTTATTGTTTGTTCTGTACATCTATATATACAGAACTTGAGCCTCTTGTAGTATCTTATTATACCTCATACTCCGAATAGTGCCTTACAATATATCACATATTGTTTCTTTATATCTTTATTTTTCTCAAATGAAAATCCAAATCAGAGATTTACTATTTCTGATTGATTCAACTGTGCATAAAGTCTATGGATCCTGTAAATGTCTAGCTGTTTTTTGTGTTTATCGTCTCTTCAAAACCAGAAGGGCGTTAACGTGTATAATTTAACTCTAAGTTAACGTCCTTCTGGCTCTGGACAGAGGACACGTTTATGTAGTTTTACATTAAATTATATATTATAACAAAAAATACAAGTAATATTCTGTTCAAAAGAAAGAATGTATCATGTCAGTGTTGATGATGACATTGTTTTATTTTCAAGTACATGTCGCATTATTGGTCATCTTATCATTTTTAGATGTGTAGTAGTTTAAAAACAAATCAAAAACGATTATTTCCCTTGAAAAGATGATTTCTTTTTTAGGATAAAATTTATAATCATACTTATATTATTAGAAGATTTTGGATTGATACAGGTTTCAAATTAATATTATGGATATTGATCAGAAGACTTTAAATTTGCCCCAAAATGCATTTCCACAATCCAAAGTGGATAGACCTTTCCTGTCAGATTATTATGTGAAAAAGTGATGTAGAACAATTCACCCTTCCCCGTACTAAATGTACCTGTCATTATTAATAATAGCTTCTGAATGTACATTCTCATGAACCATAACTAATACTCATCTCTGTTAATCATCTCATGTCAGTTACTGTAAACATGGACATTGGACAATCTCAAACATTAATTATATTCTGTTCTGAGCTTCACAATAATAGAAAGAAAAAAACATTGCATTACAGAAGGCAATACATATAGGCAAGCACTGCTACAGAGTATGAATTGTCGTTTGCTTCCTTGACGTCCAAAATGGTCCAAGTTTACAGTAACAAACTTATCACAAAATTCACTACCATTTGAGCGTATTCCCTTTGCTAAATTTCCCCATCCATGCAAATTTGCCATGAAGCTATATCACTGGAAGTATTATGATATCATTGTTATTATCATGTGCAGTAAAAAAAAAAAAAAAACTGACATTGTGTGTAAAGAGAATATCATCTGTTGAGAGCAAGAAGGCATAAGGTCAAAGGTTAAGATCCTGTTGACGAAGAAGCAGCTTTCATACCTATCTATTGCTTAGACATTAAAACAAAATATTGGATTTAGGAATAAGAACTTGATCAGGAAAACTTTATTTTTTTAGATGCTGAAAAATTAAAAAAAGCAGTTGTAAAGTATTCTAATGACACTCAAGGTACTCTACAGCTGTAGCAATAAAATACAGGTTTAAATCTGCAGATCTTGTGGGCCATCAGTCATGGTAGTTTTAGACCCCGCCCCCTATCATGTACTAACCATAATGCACCATTCAAGGCAAATCCCCTTGTAATGACTGTCCAGGGTGTGTCATTTCTGCCATCTGGAGTTGCCATTTCACTGTTTTCTTCAACATACACTTGATTTACAAAAGCATTGGATGTTCACATTAAAACTAATGGATTTACGTAGCATCTTCACAGGGTTCGGGCCAGTGCCATATGCACTTGGTAAAAATATCAAGCATAGGGATTTCAAACAGCAAGAAGAAGATGGGAAAAAAGGCGTAAATCCTTCCAGACAAAGTTAACAATATATCTCTCTTCATACTTTCAACCTTGAAAATGCTTTCAGTATTTCCAACCCATGCCTCCTGGGATGTGGCATGGCTGGTCTACTCGGTTTGGACCAAGTGTTAACAATGTTATCCTTAAAACCCTGTGCTATGGGTCAATAAGATACAGTCAAACCTGTTTTAGTATAAACCACCTGTCTTAAAAGACCACATTTTCTGTTTCCTTTGAAAATGGTTTCCTATTGAAACAAGTACTAAAGGAATCTGTCTACAAAGATCACTTGTGGTGTTTCCCTTGGGCGGTCGCTATACACAGGTTCGACTGTACCTGTAAATCAACTTGTCCCTGGTACAAGACTCTTCAATAGGGACTTTTATATTTGCATGCCGACATAGTGGACTGCTACGTGTGACTTCCTTTTAAGGCATTGACAGGACCTTAAAAGGACGTCACAGTGCCTTAAAAGGACGTCACATATAGCAATCCACTGCATTGTATGTCGGCGGGCAAATCTTAACTTCCCTAATGACACACTCTGGAGGGTTGTTCAGTTGGGGGGGTTTCCCTATACTGACTGGTGCATGAACTCATCATCATCCTCATCAGCTTTCCTCCCTCCATGATAATCTTGTGTAATCTCTCTCACAGAACATCCCCAGCCCATCCTCTCTTCCATGATTTCATCACCAGGTACCAAACTGGGCATGGTGTGACGCTACATCATTGTCATCAAATCACCCTTATCTTTTAATACAGAAGTGCTCATTTTTGCAGTTCTCATTTGTCCGTATTCTACTAATTCAGTTAAACTCAACCCTGGGTTGAAAAATCATGTTTAAGGAAGGAAAATCTAGATCTCAGACTAACTTCCTTTTTAAAACCTGATTTTGAACAAAAGCTGAAGCCTAGCTTTGGGTTAAATTTTTGTCCAATACGGCCCATTACCTTTGCAATAAGCAAAGTTATATGTGCACTTCAAGTACTGTAAGTACTTGCTTATTTAAGCTTCTTACCCCAGTCGCACTGACAGAACTGGCACGGTACTGACAAGGGACCAAATAAAAACTACTGGTTTTATGAAATGACCAATATTTTGTTAATAATTTTGTTTGTTTGGAATCAGTAGGTGGGGTGTTTGGATCATCATCCTATATTAAACACATTGTGTAGAAAAGAGTGTGAATATTTAAATATGGTTTTAACGTGACATTCCCTGAAACTTGCACAAAACTCGAGAAAATAAATGAATTGCAAAACTGACCACTTCTACAATCCATCTTAATATGGTGTGAGCTAGAGCTTAAGAAAATCCCAGTGACTTACATGTATTCATCAAATAAAGGTTTGCTGGAGTTCAAAGACAAAATCATTTTTTTAATTTCTAATTCATTCTGAGCCCAAGAAAAAAATGCATGAGGAATGCAGAATAAAAATGGTAGCAAATATTGGTTGTGTTGCTATCATTTTCACATGATCATGTTTTTAGACCAATATCAGTTGAATGGAAATTTGACCAGAGTCTGTTTCTCATTGCATTGGGCCTGTGTATGCCTTTTGGGATTAAATCAAATTTTTCTCAGAAATGAACTGTTTTCTATGAATCGCATATATACGATCTACTTGTTATCAAAATTTCTGTCAAAAATATTTAATTTAAAGATTGGATCATTAGCATCTATTGAATTCACATAACTATTTTGTCTGTCTTGATGAGATTCAGCAAACCCTGTTTGATGTAGTGATCATGTAGTAAATTTGTGCTATGTGAAATAATTGATTTCTAGTAAAAACAATTTTAATGTCATAGAATGGTTTGAGTAGCCCATTTTTAGTCGTCTTTGTAGTGTGCAGTTGTTTTGATATACCTCTTTACCACACACAGGAAAGGAAAAATAATTTGATATAAAAATTGTAATTTTGCAAAAGAAAATTGGCACAAAAGCACTAAGAAATGTTAATCAACTTTTACTCTTCTGTTTGATGCACTAATTATTTGTTTATTATTATTTCTTCTTTTTATTTGTGTGTGATGTAGAGGTTGTCTTTTGGTATTGAAAAAAAATAGTTAAGTATCTGTGATCAAGTGTGATATTTTAGGTTAAAATCAATCATTTTAAGTTTCTGTTTTATCGCTCAACATCTTATTTTGATATTCTAGAAAAAAGTAGTTTTCAGTCATGTTTAGATGTTGAAGAAAGTAGTGTTTTATGGTATAATGAATTCATGCCAAGGTTTATTCATTTTGTGAAAGGCATTCCATTGCCTCTGAAGAACAGGCTTCGATTTTTGATGTTGGTTGAATTGTCATTTTTTAATGATTTCCTTTTTCCCATCAGTTTTAGATCCTTTTGCCGTGTACACCCATTCATCATGTTTAATATTTTCTCTTTGATTTTTCAACATGTAGATAAATTAGCATCCTCATGATATTACATGTAGATAGTGTGTCATCGTATGATATGAGCTGTGAGAAAAATTGTTTTATTATTGCCGAAGCTATTAGAGGAACAGACATTACTCTGATCTTCAATTTCATGTGACTTAAAAAAGAAAGAAAGTACACAACCTTTTTCTGTAGGTGAAGTAAAGAAACCAATAAAGAAGTTAATCTTCCATTGAAAAGAGAAGGCTGTTATATTATTATTATTTTTTTAATAAATGAAGCTGCCTGTCTGCGGTATGATAGAATTTCTCTGTTGTCCCCCAAGTCTTCAGTTTGAATAACTTCATTCAAATATCAAGATGCTCTGTATTTAGTAATTTGTTCATTGTATTCTGTACCCCTTTCTCTGCTCTAGTGTATTGTTCATTTTAATAGTAGATTTTATTTATAGAAGTGAATTATTGTCTGTTTCCATGTGTGTCGTAGTATGCTTGACGTTCTTTCTTGCCAATCCCTGTCTATGGTGTGTACTGAATAGTGATTAGTCTCATTTTGTGACTGTTTATATTCTAGTATTTGTTCTCGCATCTTGAAGTGTAGCTGTCATATTGGTAGTTTCACAATACTGTTGACAGTACATTAATTTTGTATTTCCTTTTGACTGTTCCTGTACATGTAGAACTATATTGAATATTTATCTGATTTGTTTGCAAATCAGCGCTACAGCAAAATATTGTCTAGCGCCATCTCAGGTCCGCTGCAGCAGTATGATCCTGTAACCCTCTGTGCTTGCCTAGCTGCGCTGTTGGTTCTTGCATCAAGTCTTAGTGGGTTATATAAGCACTATTTGCTAGTTGACCATGAGATGGCGCTGTACAATAAACAGTAGGCTAGGGCAGAAAGTTCATCAGTCCAGAATCGCTTTAACCCATGTCAGATCTGTATCAGCAAACTTCTGCTTTTTGTTGTGTAAGATCTAGTCTAAAGCTCTGTGTAATTAGTATTTAGTGTACAGGTAGATATAGGTTTTTGATAACAAAAAAAATAAAAATATCAGCTTCAGCAAATATTTGCCAGTGAGCCGTGTGTTTTTATATACTGAATCATTTTATCATTAGAATCATTATCATTATCACTGCCATCATCATATTGCCAATTTGAAGAATACAGCATGCACATTTAGTAAAATAAGCCAGAGAGCCGCCAGCTAAGTTCTAGATACATGTACTGTATGAACATTGTGTGTTTGAATATTTGTGAATTTTTTATCAAAAACAATGCCATGCCAATACATATTTTCTGTCAGCTAATAATAACAGTTGAAAAAAAAATTATTTTGATTCTGATCCCTTTTTTTAGCTCTCTGCAAATTACTTTCATTTTTCGTACTGTTTCTCTATCTGTTGCTTTTTCACTCATGCAAATTCATGTGACATTTCAATGCAAATTTGAGTCGAAATGTGTCCTGTCATCACTGTTCCATTGAAGTACTTTGTTGAAGATGTTCGTTTTGAGTGTGATCCTTGGTGATAAAGCTTGATCTCACTTTATGTGCTTACCGTAATCATGTTCTGTGTGTGCAAGCATCTCTCTATTTCCATGCCATTTTCTTCTCTCATTTCCATCTCACAGGTTTTGCAAATAATAATGACATTGGGGCAAACTTTGACAAGGCATTCGGAAGCAGTGTGCAGCCAGCAGGTAACTGTGCATGCAAAGTAGACAGTGTAGTCTTCTCTATAAAGTGTGTTTTTCCTTCTTTGCAGAGATAGACGCATGATTTTGAGCTTGAATTGAAAGGACAAGCAATTTCAAAGTAGAGTTTATAACCATTTATATTAGTTAAATCCTAATGTGGGTTTAAAAAAAGTTGGTCAATGTTTGATTTCATTAATTTTCCAATATTTTTCATGTACCATAAGCTAGATTATATCTATTTTTAGTTATAATTATAAATTTATGATGTATAATATTCAGATTTAATGGTAAGTAATGTCATTTATCTATCATCAGGGCCCTGTTGCATAAAACTTACCATTGATGATAACTTTCCCAACTACCATGGAGACCTTGATTTTGATTGGCTGTTGAGCCTAGCTGTTACCATGGTAGTTGCCATTGATAGCAAAGTTACCATTAATGGTATTAAGTTTTAGGCAACGGGCCCCAGGTTTTTTTCATATGAAAATTCTGTTTTCTTCTCGTATTCCACCCCACTTCAGAATGTCCTTTCATCTGCAAATATAAAATCATTTCTTCATATATTATTAAAATTGCAATTTTAAAAGTGACCACAGTCATTACAATTAGAGAGGATCATTTTTGCACATCCACATGATAAAATAAAGCTTCATCTGATGATTATTGTCCTCAAAACATCAAGGTCATTTGCTGTGCTTGAAATGGATCAGAAATGTTTTTTTTTTAATCCACTTACCGTGTTGGGAAATCCATTTCTCCAGTGTTTAGATGTGCTATAAACATCTGTTTGTAGCTTACAATTTTCAGACTGTATTTGTATAGTGACACTTGTATATTTACCTGGGCATAGTTTCACAAAACCGTCAAAAGTACAAGTTTACTGACGTCCCATTCAAACACATGTTTATTACAATACATGGATTTCAAGTGGATGTTGGTGAACTTGTACCTATGATGGTTTCGTGAAACACTGCCCTGTACTTCTGCACCAATGAGGATAATGTTTATAACCTGTTCTTGCTTCCCCCTTCCTCCTTCTCCCTTCTTCCTCAGCCCAAACCACCGCACCCATCATGGGAGATGTCCTCCAGCCCATGAACCAACAATATGTACCCCCCTCACAGGCAGAGGTCATGGCCGCCAACGGGGGCAAGAATCTCGACACAACACTCGTCAAATTGGCAACAAATCTCGATATTAAAGGTGTAGCCTCTCCTAAAAAGTGAGTTTAAAATTTACCTTGCTTTTCTAGAGGAATATGTAGGCTTAGAAATGTGGTGACATTTTTCTTCCTGTAGAAGGGGTTGTATGGTTAAAGTTTTAAAGCCCCCCGCAAAAAAAAAGAAAAAAAGAAAAGCAGCTTAGTTTATAGTTTTAAAAAAATAACCCCATTTTTTTTTTAAATGGCCAACTAATTTCTAGATTTTAAAAAGATTTACAAAACTAAAATGCTAGCGTTTGAAAATGATCTGTTGGAATTCATCTGTATCCATAAGAAGAAATTCAATGTGGGCCTTCTGCAGTGTAATGAGTGTGGATTTGCAGTGTTATAGTTGAAATTTTGCAGTAAAATGGTCTGCCACTCGCAGTAACATTGGTTTTTTTTGCAGTGCAGTTTAATCCGATTTAAAATTTCACCAACCACCAACTAAACCAAACTTTTAATACTATTTTGTCTTTGAAAGATTGCAGTTGCTTAATACACTTTATGCATGATATGTGAGAAATACTAGGAAATTTTTTTCTTCATGAAATATGTCTGAAATGCTTTGGTTTTAATGGCTGTTATAGTGTAGTAACTAGTATCGTAGTAATTTTCATTAGTACATGCATTCCATGTATATATATACTTCATATTATGCTTTCATGTCATAATGTTAATTCACATTCAGTCACTCTTTTGTCTCGTTTTGATGTGTGTTGGTGATGTAATGTACCTGTATCTGCGTTAATGTGTGTCATTTTCATTCACTCTTTATATCTAGCATTAACTTTCTTCAAAAAATTACAATGCTCCCTCATTGTTCCTCATCTTAACTCACAATTTGTTGAGTGTCTTTCTGTGTACACATGTATTCTTTGGAATTCAATACCATTTTTCCTTCTCATACCTGTACCATGCAGTGGCCACCTATATATATAAAGGTCGTCTTCTCTGCATATTTCTCTCTCTCCTTGTTACTTTTTGTTAACCTACTCTGAATTCTTGTTACTTTTATATTTTCTAAACTTTAAATCACACCTCTGGTTTAATTGCTATAATCCCTTTTACTTAACCAACATTAAAAAAAAATAAATTTAAAGGTAAAGACCAGTATTGGAAACGCCCCAATTTCAAAAAATGAAATGGAAGCTCTCATTACCAATCATGTGAAAGAATATGTTTTGACTAATACATGATGATAACAAATTTGCCGGGAAACCGCCTACTAATTCATATATTTGGTAAATTTGTTTCTCTCATGGTCTGTGAGAGATATAGGGTAGTCCCATGTACATCTTTCTGTGTATAGTGCTTGTAACTTTACGAAGAATGGGCCAAATTTCTTATCATTTTGATGCTAGATGCTAGATGATCAACCTTTTCTGATCGATTCCACAACGTTTCTTTCACAATGCAATCGCATGACCATAACTGGTCTTTACCTTTAATGCTAAAATAACTATTCTTTCAAGCCTGTACCATTTTTGCTCTCTTTCCTCTCTCTCTCTCTTTCTCTCTTTCTCTCTCTCTCTCTCTCTCTCTCTCTTTCTTTTTCTGAGTTCTTTGTGTACTGTTCCATGTTCTGTTTCATGTATGTTATTAAGAGGATATATAATCAATGGCTCTGTTAGTTTACAATGCTTAATTCTCATTTTTTCCACAATTTACATGAAATTGAATCACCCATTTAACCAATCCTCTTTTTTTCGGTTTGCTTTTCCTATTCGCACATTCACGTATCATTCTTTCCCTTTTCATTCCCTTGTAAAATGTGTTTGTATATCTTTTCATTGCCTATCCATTATTCCTAAATACCATTCTTTTGTTGAACCCTCATGCCAATTCTCTTTTATTTTGTATGTTTTAATTTTGGTGAATTTGCTCATGATCATTCCATCATATCGATGTGACCCGCAACCATGTTATCAATCTCCAACTCTTTTCTAATCTTGCTCTTCTTTCTATTTCATTCTAAATCACTGATTGTAATACCCCCCTTTCATTTTCCCATCCTCCCTCAATACTTTTATTTTTGTTTTACATGGCTATCTGTCCTATTTCTTCTTTTGCTGCACCTTTACTGCTTCCATTTAATTTAATTTGCCAATAATCTTCGCACTCCTGTCCATCTATCCTCTTTGTTTTTATTGATTCCTCATTATTGATTCCTGCATTCTCCATCATGGAACCCTTTTCAATCTTCTTCCTTCCATTCTCTTTGCTTACTGCCTTTTTTTTTGGATGCCCTGTTTCATCCTTTTCTCTTGTCATAAATCACCTTTCTTTTCCGTCTTCATTTTTCCTTATCCCTCTCCTTTCATCCTTTCAATTTTGTCACCCATCACTCCATCCTGTTTTCTCCATTCATCAATCCTGATTCTGCATCTTCCTCTATCCCACATCTATTCTCTCTCTCCTTCCTCTCTTCCTGCCCTGTTCATTCATTCACACCACATAACCTTTTCAATTTTGCTCCCCCGATAAACCCCCGTCATCCTCCTCAACGCATCACTCCTGCCCATCCTCCACCACCCTCCATCCTCCACTCTCCCTACTTTCTCTGGGATGCGTGCGTTCCTCCTTCATCCGTTTGCTGTGCTGTCATGCCCTCCTCTCATCACACACTTACTAATGCAGAACTGCTGGAGCTGGGAGTGGAAGTGGTGCACTTGATTTTGATCTTCATGGAATGGGCCGTTTGAAGTAGGTGCTTGGTGGCAATGTCTCGTCATAGTTTTATTAACCCTATTAATAATCCACTGGTGGCTGGGCTTTCATTTGGGATGCATGCATCAAAAAGATTACATTCAAAGGGTTAATTGTCAAGCCTCTATAATAATATGTACGCTTCATGTTTAGTCAAAAACTCGGCATAGACCTCTAACCAGCAATGCACCAGACAAATAAGATGCAAAGTATATTCTAATCATACTTCATAATCCCTAACCAAATAAATAATGCTTCTAATGTAGTTAATTACCTGAGATTCAGTCTTTTTCTGATCTTATCTTCAGAAATATATCTATCGCTCTTCGTTACATCTAGCCATCTCGTGCAATTTACCTCAATTTATATTTCATTGAGCCTGTGATTATATACATGTACATGCACCTCTATTATAATTCTACCTTTGTTGCACTACAAACCCCCTATATTGTCTCTCCATGCTGTGAAGGTTCCATTTTACAGTTACCGTAAATGCAAGTATTTTTCATATCTTGACCTGATTCTGAAAATGTGTGGTTCACTGGTCCTTTCCTTTTTTCTTTTTTTACATGAGTTCCCTTTTTTAGATGTGTTACACTTTCTTTTTTTGTTAAATGTGTTCATTAAAAAAAAAAAAGGAATACTATCTGTAACAATGCTACATTGATGTAGCATCTGATCAAAATTTTATGAAACCGCTTTTTGATTTCATGCTGATTAGAGGTCTATGCCGTGGGAAGATTTTCAAAATTGCATTCCATTTCATGACATTCATTACCTGTATTTAAACATGCAAATGATTTGCCTTGAAAGTTGGGCTCAGTTCATATAGTTGCATGTCCATATGAGGCTGGATGGCTGCTAATCTAAGTGTAATTGCATGACATGAGTATTTGATATATTATTATTATTTTAATTATGCATACCGGTACTAAAATCAGAGGCTGCAAATGGTCATTTTTATTTGTATGGATTGCTCATATTTAATATGGCAAGGGAGAATCAAGGTGGACTGTATGAAATGATATTAATGTTAAAATCAAGAGGAAATATAAATCTGAGATGTCATTAAAACCTGATGACTTTAGAATACTCCAATTCCCGTAGGCTTAACACACGGAACACCTGATTCTCGTTGGCAGTGTGTTCGCTGACAATTTGTAAAGCTCCAAAGTGTTTGGATGTACATTAGATTGTGTATAATAGTCATTCCTGTGCGTTGTTCCCATCGTCCATTCAAATGAAAGAATCTTGGTAAATTGATTTTGGTCCCTAAACTTTGATTTCTTTTAGGACGGAACATCAGTGGACCAAGAACTCACCATCACAGAGGACCGGAGGGGCCGGTTGGTCACCCCAGAAGGGCCCCATCGGGTCATCGGCTGCCCCTGCATGGGGTGTTGCAGCAGCAGCCCCTATGGGAGGTTACATGGTGAGTAGATCAACAGGGATTTGAACCCTAAACTCTCAGGTCCAGAGCACTTAAGTATAGACATTCTGACCAGCTCTTACGGCAACATCCTAATCTATTAGTCATGAGGATTCTTGTTTATTTCATGATGATTCAGAACGGTGAATTTCATGACATGCAATTTTGCTTTTGATCAACAAAATAACCATAAAAGAGCCTTCTTCAGCACATACTACTGGTGACAATTACTTCATGGTTTTCTACACTGACACAAATCTTAATTTCAACTCTTGATCAAATACTAACATTAGCCCTAACCCTGATCCTAACCCTAAACCTAACCATAACCCTAAAACTATGACAAATTAAACCCGACTGCAATCCCAAACCTATATCTTTGATGAAATAAAACAGTGAGCAAAAGTCACTCAAGCAAATGTCAGATCACCAGCAATATATATATATATATATATATATATATATATATATATTTTTTTTTTATTTTTTTTTTTTTTGGGGGGGGGGGGGGGTTGGGATATAATTATGTGAAATGATGGAAGATGTATTTATAAGCTAGGATGTACAGTACAGCAAAACTTCATGAACTCTAAGGAATTACTCTTCTGATGATGTTAACGGTTAAAATATTCATGTTTATTACATTTCTCTGTCTCTAGAATCAAACTAACTCATGCTTTCTGATTTAATAGTTGCATTCTTTTCTACATATTCTACATCTATTATTTTACTCATTCATTTGGTTCAGATCATTATGTTGTATATTAGCTTTGAAGATGATACTTGCATGGTACATAGATTTTAATTGAACATTTAATTTTATGGATATGAGCTCAAAGTAGGAAAAAACAAACAAGCAAATGCTGCTGACAATTTTTCTGCTTCAGAAAGCTGCGGTTGATATATGATGTGATAAATCTAAAAAATGTTTTACGGCACTCTGGATAAAAAAAATTGATCCTTGTGAAAATTCCTGGTAGAATAGTACATGTGTGATTTGCCACCTTTAGATTTTGTATAATGAACTACCTGTTGAGAGGAAATAGTAGCATGATCTATTTGTATGTTTCATGGTTATAAAGTATACCGGTAGTACTTTTTTCATGTCTACAGTAATTTTAACCACTTTTATTTATATTTTAGTCTTGTAGTGTATTTGTACGAAGAAGGAAATTAAATTGGGGAAAGGTTATGAAAACAAAAGAATTTCTAAAGTAACTAGCCTTGTTCATTTTCAAAAGAGATACTATTAAACAGGATACTATTAAACAGATACTAATATTGGAAGTCAGAATTGAAAATTGATTTTAAAGCCCCACTGCACTACTTATAGCTACTTACGCCATCTATATAGCAAACAATGCATAATCGGTGTCTGTTGGTCCCCATCTTTTTCTTATGTTAACCGAGAGCTGATTTGATGAGATAACGACCTTTCAGTGATTATCTTGGATAGTTGTTTGAACTGGTTTTTTTTAATAGTTTGCTCTGTGTGTGAGTGTATGTTTTTTGTTTAATATAAATTTGTCCTTGTTTAATGAAAAGCTATATGTGGATGCAATTGTGGTGTGGGGTTTATTGTAATCAGTAAAGGTCTCTAGTCATATAGTAATTTTCCCTTATGAATATGAATAATTAATTTTAATTATTTGTCATTTATGAGTAAATTATCCTCATCAAGCAGAATCATGAATTGTGATAACTGTATGATTGTGAACAAATTCAATTTGGTGTTTTATCATTTTACCATGCCTCTCTCATCCTGTCTTGCATGTTTTCTCAATTCATTTGTTTCATTTTAACAACATGTAATCTTTCTTTCATATATCATTTCATCTTATGTTTTACCATATTATACATTGTCTTAGTAATCCTCATTCTGTTTTGTAGCTTTATTTGAAACTAACACAGTTCGCTATTCTCTGATCCTGTCCTCATTCTAAACATAATGCTAATATTATCTTTCATTTCTGTTAACACCACTCTCACTTCATGCTTTCACAAAACGTTAAAATAATGATGTAAAGGAGCTTGAGTCTGCACCAACACCTCCACCACCAAATACTACCATGGTGAGTCTAACACCCCTGTTTGACTAATGGTATAGTCCATGAGCAGCAATCTGCTCCATTTGCTGGCAGTGCTGTATGTCTATCCATGTGGTATCATCCATTTTCTTGGAGGTGGATGTGGTGGGTTAGTTTTGAAATTCATGGAATTTCTTCATCTGAGGGCCAAGAAAATTTCTGGTGATGTTGCTGTTCTGCTGGGAAAAAGAGGGGCTAAGTTCCATATAAAGTGTATGTTCATATCTCATATTAGGACAAATTTTTGGATGAAAGTATTACTACATTGTACACAGAAATGCAGTATTAAATGTACTATTGTGCTTTAGAAAATACATGTTGAACATGTGGGCCAATATGTTACCCTTAATATGTATCATTGGCACAGTTATGCATTAAATGTATACATGTAGTTTTGTGCAATCTTGTATTGTTTTTTTTTATTCAATGCAGATTCAAAAAAGATAGATAAGCTGCACCACAATTTAAATGAGATAAGAAAAATGCGCTTCATATTTCTTAATCTGGTCACACATACATTCTGGATATGCAAGTAGACTGTCAGGTTACGAGCCAGACAACTCGTGAGACCACTCATGAGCTTGCTTACAACAGCTTTCTAGAAGGTTCACTCAATCATGCGTGAAAACTCAAAAGGATCCCCCCCCCCCCCTCAAGAAAAAAGAAAAGAAAATTGTCACTAGCCCTTCTCTTTCCTGCAATGATTTTTTAGGCAGTCTGCCTGCTATGTCTTATTGAATTTCTGTATTCGGGAAGTTTTTATGTTTGGGAGGCATTACTGATGGTGATTTTTGGTATATGTTTTGTTTCAGAGCGGTCAAACGGCCGATTGGAGGGGTCAAGCATTCTCAGGACAATTTGGTGCTCAACAAGCAGGGATGGCCCAACCTGGAATGGTAAGTTATTGTATGTTGCGTGAGTGATCAGAGAAATCTGTAGACAGAGTTTGGCCAACTTTGTGTCAGTTTGTCTCGACATGGTGTATATTCTTTTGTGCCTGTCCAACAAAGCACTATCGCAAAAATCTCCTCTAGCATCATCTTAGGTCAGCTGTAGCAGTATGTTCCCGTAACTCTGCTTCCTTAGCTGCACTGTTGGTTATGGCATCCGTGGACATATTCAAATCAATTCAATTCAATTCTTTTTATTCATCCAAATTCACAAGAATACATGGAAATTTGTTTTGGTCACACATTGTAAAAAAAAGTAATATATATATATATATATATATATGAGAAACTATATCGTTGTGTTTATAATCATGGAATACATGAACAGGCTGTGTTTATTCTCGATTGCTTTTAATGTTACCATACCCTAATAATTTCTATGTTTCTCTTTTGATTTTTCTCTTGAAGGGCATGGGTGTAAGACCGATGGGCATGGCACCCGCGGGCATGTTTGGACAACCTGTTGGAGGTATGGGTCAACCTATGTATAATCAACCAACGAGACCACCTACACAAGCTCAAGCACCCGCAGATCCATTCGTAAGTCCACCTTCCTCCGCACATGTTGCTGCAGAACACACATTGTTTGTAAGGGACTCGTCGCCCCAAATAGATTTGAATTTACAGAGTTTGCAATTTCTTTCTAAAATTGAATCACAATCAGATACCGTCAAACCTGCTTTAGTGACCACCTGTCTTCAAAGACCACATTTTTGTTTCCCTTAAAAATGGTTTCTCATTGAAACTTGAACTAAAGGAACCTGTCTACAAAGACCACTTTTTGTGTTTCCCATGGGCGGTCGCTATAGACAGGTTTGACTGTAGTATTGTTTGCACTTGGCTCTAAGGAATGTTATACAACACCTACGTGGATCCTTGTCATTTGATTGGAGGATTGTTGGTCACATGATATTCAATAGATATTCTATTGCACGGGCGTGCATTTTTGGTTATATGCACACTGCGTACCTCTCGTATCCCTTCGTGTATCTGACGCAAAGGCAATGTGAATGTAATCGAGAAGACTTGACTCCAACTTTAATTTATCTTTAATATAAGGAGTAAGGCATAATTTGTTGATTAACGTTCTATTAGATCTTCTTCGATGTTGTATAAAACAAATAATGAATGTTTTTCATTCGTTCATTGAACTCAACCATAACCATTCATTATTTGTGTAGTATTGCATAAGTCGTTGAATAAATGAATGAAAATTAATGTCTTTTTCTTTGACATCTGTTCTTGAATGTTCACATCTTAGGCTAGTGTAATTTCTTCTAAAATTGGATCCCAGTCAGATCATATTGTTTGTATTAATGATATGCAAAATTTGATGTATGAATGAAGGAAAAATAAATGTCCTTTCTTTTTTCTCAATCTTTTCACATGCTTATATATCTAATGCTAGTACAATTTGTAGTGCAACCTCTAAAATTGAACGGCAGCCAGATTTAATGTAGTTTGCACCTGTTATTTTAATATTAAGAAACAATTTACACAATATTGCATTACAAATTTTTTCTTCTTTTTTTTTTCTCTCAATTTTCTCCCACAGGGTAATCTCATCTAGCTCCACAGATGTCAGTCATCTCCACAGAGATATATGGATATATGAATATATATATAAATAGATAAATATATAAATATATATATATTATGATATGAGTGCACATTTTCAAAGTGGAGAAAAGAAGCTGTTTGTGACCAATTATGTAGAAACCAGCCCCACGAATCAAGAATTTTTTTTTCTCGATGGCGTCCACTCTCATACGTTATATTTTGTGATTGAGCGATTCCAGTCATCCATGTTTATGTTAGTGCAAGTGGGCTCAAACATCAAAGATAGATATCTTCATTTTGTCAAAGTGTCATTGACATGGATTGATTCTATAGTGCTATACCCTGAAGATTTAACCCTTTGCCTCTGTCAATTGAATGGTTCCTGTATTTTGCATAGGAAATTAGATAGCTTAGTAGTAAACGGGTTAAGTGAATTTTCGTGTTGGATTTGTGAACTACTCTTGCACACAACCTACAAGTTCTTTGTCATGATGAATACATGTGTATGAATGAAGTCCTATGTCCATAAACACAAACACAAAGGACAAAGTCTTTATCATGAACTTCAGTATAAGTCAGTGGAATATGAAAATGGAAGCAACAAGAAGAGCCTGTTTATTAAGGCAAAGCATGTAACGCTGTGAGACAAAACAGTGTGCTTATATGGGTCAGTTATGGATGGTATGGTGAGTTCTCACATCTGGACCCTTCAGCTTTGTTTGACAACTAAACATCAGCTGTGTCTCTGCACCTTTTACAGATGCTGGGCAGTTCCAGGTATGATAAGATCCCAGAAGTACATCGTAGTATGTAGTTACATCTAAGGCTTGTCAACATAGGGCATGGTAAACTGCCACAACAAACCAAAGTTTCTGTGCTTAACTAAAAACACTCTGAAGGCCTCGTTCAGATGTGATGCTGCAAAACTTCAGTGTTTTTAAAAAGTTTTGTTACGATGACGTACACAGAGCTTAGTGAACACGGGCAGGACCTTTATGGTGCCCAGTTACCATTCATTGACGTGTACAAAAAACCTGAGGTGGCTTTTTTGCGGCGGTTTACCGTGTCATATCTAACGAGCCTTAATTGTTCTTACTTTTGGTTTTGTTCTAAGATGAAAGAATGCTAACTGCATTATGCGTATGTCATTTTGCTGCGGTAGTTTTTGTGGTTGTTATTTAATGTGGGAGCCTTGCGTTATTGTGTAGGGCTGCTGAAAGATCTAAACCCTAGGATACCTTAGGTTGAAACCCACTGAAAAAAGGCATTTTCAAGCTAATCTTGAGTTCTATTAATAAAATTTAATTTAAGACAAAGTCTGATTTATTATGATGCAATATATGAGCTGTTGGGCCATAAATGGATGAATAAATACATTATGTGCTCTATATCACATTGAAATGCACACTTCAGATCATGTTCTGGTTTCTTAAGTGTACAAACCTATGATTATTCAAGAAATTTCTGCACCATTTGGAGCACACACACACAAAACAAAAATCATTCAATAATCACCAATCATTTTGTACATATGAATGATCATCTTTTTGTCAAAGTAATATTTTATAATGCAGAAAGCAATGTGTTGAACATGTAACATATTATGAAGACATCCTTTTTCAATGTCTACCTTTTGATCTTTAATATATATTCTAATCATGACCCTACTGCCAACGAATATTAAGTAGCGTAAGGTTTGATGTAATGAACACCTTCATCATTGGAGCAGTGTTAATTGCTCACTTGAATGGAGACCATTTACATATACTACCTTAAGAATAATAGGGAGTAGTAGGATAAGTATAGGACCATGATTATGAAATTTCATCTTTGCGCGACTCAAATCTTGTACATCATCATCTACCTGAATTTTGGCGTTTCCATTTATAGATTTTACTTTTTCTTAAATATAATGTTGATGTAAGAAATATGTCATGGATATTTCAAATACATGTATAAATTTATTAGGTGTGCATATGTATTTTTTGTACCCTTGCCTTGTATGGATATAGAAGGCATTATGAATTATGGACCAGCATTAATAAGAAGTACTTTGTTTAATGGATACTGTGCTCGACCATGTATATCTCCAATTGTTCAGAGCTGTGGTATTTAGGGAAAATGATAACTTAGAAATCATCATCTGAAAGCTTAAACCAAAATTTAAGTCAAATCTTAGATGAACTTTGATTCGGGAAATAGATGAAGTTTCTACAACTTTGAGATTAGTTTATATTTTAATTGCCACAACACGCATCAAAATCGTTGTTTTTAAATTTAATTTGCAATGATGTTTGAGGGGTTAAAATATGCACATGAAGATTAAGCATTTGTATGTCCTAAACTAAAATGGAAGTTGACTGTATACAGATGATCATTTGGTTTGGAGTTGGTAGCAATGTCATGTGTAACATGCATTTTGTGATGTGTAATTCAAGACATTTTTCTTAATCAATATGATTATGTTGAAAAGTTATTGGATTGCATAGAAGATTTATCACGGATTAGACATAGAATGTGTACATTTGTAGAAAATTACTTGTTTGATAAAAAGGGGGAAAGTTATGTTATTTCTTAATGTTTATTGTGTGTTGGGTGAGTGTCTGTGTGCATATTATATATAGGAAAATGAATTGATGCAGGTATGTAAATCTGGATGTCAAATTGATTCAAAATAAAATGGAGTGTGTGTGAGAGGGATAGAGATACAAAGAGAGAGAGAGAGAGAGAAAGAGAGAGAGAGAGAGAGAGAGAGAGACGAGAGAGAGAGAGAGAGAGAGAGAGAGAGAAAGAGAGAGAAAGAGAGATATATAATTGAATTGAGTGTGAGGCAGTGTTTGTAATTTTTGTTTTACGAATATGCTATTTTGGTCGGTGAATTAATAGCTACATACCATACATTGTAATACAACTGTTCAAGTGTGTTATAAATGTGCTGAATTATTACTCTGTCAGTTGTCATTTCCATGGATCGACATCTTAAAACCATTTTTTAGAATTTACATTGCCTGATGTTTCTGAGTTTGAGGGAAATATAATGAAGATGATAGTTATCTGCATTTCTACCCATGGTATGAATTACAGGTTCCGTAAAACGGTGAAGAGACTGTAAGTTGACTTTGTATAATTTTAAAGTTTTGTTTATACCCCTCCCCTCCAGAAATGATTTAGACCCTCTTTATCCTTTTATTTATCATGTATCATGTTTTAAAGAAATGGAAAGGGTCTGCATCATTCAGGGGGTGGGAGGGGGTGCAAAATCACATCAAAAACTTGTTATCCTTACTCACTCTGGGTCCTGTAACATGAAGCAAAGCAATTGAATGTACAATTGATTTTTGCGATTGACTGCACATAGTGCTCAATGCAATCAATCCGGAAAAATCAATCGTGCAATCAATTGCTAAGCTTTTTTTTACGGGCCCTAGTGTCCCTGTTTCATATTGGGGCACATCAATGTTGAGTAAATGCCTTCAAATAAAATTATAGTGCATTTGCCAACTGAACATGCCAGTGACACTAAGCGATTCTGGATGATTCAACCCTTCTCTGAACCATGCCATATGATTGCAGAAACAGATCTTGATATTCTACCAAGTTAAAATTCTAGAGTTGAAATGCCCCATCATTTGCTTTTCCAAATTGGTAATTAGTATAGCTGAAGCAAATCTCTAGATCAAGTAATGTAAAAGCACATAAAAACCACAGACATATGTTTGGTGTTTTATGGGTTAGAATACAAATCTGCCCTTGATGAAATAATTGTCATCAGGTGTTGTAAAAGCAATCTTTACTTTGCTTTAGCAGTGTTCCAAATGAATGTATGATGTTATGTATGCAAAACAAGAACAAGAGATGCATTCTTGTTTTACTACAGTGAAAGCAATATCAATTTTATTTCATATCTTATCTTGTTCAATCGTTTATTATTTTATTTTTATTTACTCTTTTGTATTTATGTTGATGGTTAGTTATGCTTTACTCCACAATGGATGTTATATATCATTAATGACACTGATGTGTGTTACATGTTATCTATCTGATACAACAAAGTCTACTAGATAAATGTTCATGTTGAATGCTAATATCCAACTAACTACCCAAAATCTTGATGGACCATGACGTAATAATTGATAAAGGGTATTTTCCGTACTGTGATGTAAATTATTTGTACATTTACACCTCATCCAGTCTAAGAAAAGACATTGTTCCATATTCTATCTATTGAGTGTATAAATGGGATTGTCCTCCGATCATTTAATCGAAATGTGGTTTATGAAAATAAAGAGAAATTATGTCTATAATGAAAAAGAGAGCTTTAAACTACATGTACAAATTCTAGAAGAGTTTAAGAGCAGTTTGAAATCCTGTATTTAGACAACGTTTAATGTCTTTCCTCTTTTTGATATACTGTTTACGATTCTCTATTAGTAAGATCCCTATTAGTCCCTTGCATCTTAATTTCTACTATGCAGTCAGTCTACCCGCAAGCTCCAGTTTCTATGAAATGAATATTGAGTGTTTTCAAGCTGTCATCTGTGAAACCTTTGTGGTCAGATTTGTCTTGTCTATTTTTACGAATGTGACAGAATTATGTATCAACCATTCGTTTGTAATTTTTTTCTCAGAGCCGTATCTACTTCTATCCGTAGAGAATGGAAATATGTTGGTCTCGTGACCCAATAAATGAAAATAAAGTGATGAAAAGAAACAATGTGAAGCAATCGTTTGTTTTATTCTGCTGGATTTTTGTTACTCTCGAGGTTCAAAGAAGAGAAAACAGACTCCCAACAAAAAATTTGGAGAAAGAGACCGTATAGAGACTTGTATGTATTGTTGATGTATAAAAAAATTGTTGTGAGAGGAAGAGAAGGGGAAGGTTTTATTCAATTTAAATGTGTATCGTGAAAAAGGGTGTTGATATTATTCAAATAGATAAGTGTTGCACGTAGTGAGAATATGACAAAGAGAAGAAGAGAAGTATAGTCCTTTGACGTAGAAGTTTGGTGAGAATGAGAGAAAGAGAAGTATACACTTATTGTTTAATGAAAAGAGAGCTACTTACAGTCAGAATTGGAGAAGAAGAAAAAGAAAGTGTTAATAATTGTTTGACTAGAAGAGGGTCATATGAAGTAAGAAAATGTGAAAGGGATGAGGTTTGGATATTGTTTAAATGAAAGTGAGAATGAGAAGATTAAAGATGAAGTTGAGTTCTGGTCATGCGATTGCATTGTGAAAGAAACGGTGTGGAACCGACCAGAAAAGGTTGATCATCTAAAGAGTTTGTGTGTATTGCAAGGTTCTGGAATCATCAAAATGATAAGAAATGTGGCCAAGTCTTGGTAAAGTTACAAACACTTGCACAGAAAGATGTATATGGGACTACACGAACATGTGGCGTAAAAAGCCGCCCCCCCCCCCCCCCCGATTTTTACGATGTTACATGCATATTTAGAATATGAAGGCATTTGAAGAGCCATGCTTTTCAGGGAACATGTCTTAACTGATGTTCTTCCACACTTGCATAATAAGAATGAGTAATGCTCACAATTTATTTTTCACCTCTTCCCAGAACTCAACCTTCTCTTTAAGAAGAAGTGCATCTATAGGGCCTATTCTAGAGTTCAATTGTAAGACAAATTTATAGTGAGAATGGGAAAAGTCAATGAATATATTCACAAATTGTACTAGGAAACGGAGAAGATCAAAGATATTCAAAATTAATGAGAGCATGCATGCACATATAGGCCTACATGCATTGGAAGTTAGTAAAAAAAAAAAGAAGAATTTCATGTATACAAGAAATTTCCAATGTGTAAATTAAAACTGGAAAAAAAGTATTAATTATATTGTATTTAAAAATCATAAAATATCATAGTTTCTCTACATGATCGATCCGAGTGAAATATACTAGTGGGAAAAAAATGACTGCTTGATGGTCCTCTCAAAGAACATGTCAACAAAAATATCTGGCTGCTATGCCACTATGGGGCCTCGATCTATATCATCCCCCGCCCCCACCCCTTGAAAAAGAAAATCAAATTTCCTGCTAAAATTAAGTAGCAGATTGGGAGAGAGGGGATCGAAGGCAAACATGTGGCCTAAATTAATAATCAACATTAGCTTTCTCTTTTCTTTCCTTTCCAATTACAAAACAGAGATGTTAGAAATTGGCTGTGGAGCAAATTATTGCCCATTGAATCGAATTTGGAGTCGTATGACGACATAAGTTAAATTTAGGTTTGTCGTAAAAAATCACGCTGTTCAATTATTCATTCATAAATGATAGACTAAAAAATCTTAACTTGCAGAGTGAGATTACAATAATAAGGAAAATGGACAAGTTGAAAAAGGTATTGCGTGGAGAAGAAGAGCAGCAGGATGAGCAAAGCATAATAACCGACGTAAGTATTCGGTAGTTTGTTATATTTGGTTAAAATTCACGATGCACTTTCGCTGTACTTTTTTCACATTATACGAGTATTTAATGTGACGTAGACGGGACCCAAGATCCTTGACTTCAGTCCCGCGCGTAGCTTTACGTGTTGGATACAATCTTTAGGCCTAGAATCTATATTATAATTTTTCAATTCCTATCAACACTCTTATAGGTCTACTCTTAATCGTTATCTTTTCTCTAGATTATAGAGATGTCAAATCAGGCTAGGTGATGGTGGTTGGGTGTCTGGACACTAAACAAACATATTAATGCCTTCTCTTATGCCGATTTTGAGTGAATTTTGTTGAGTTTTTGTCCAGCTGTGTTTGTGAGTTTTGTTTTGAAAAATCAACAGAGGGTGTCTTACTCTTGAGTCTTAACTCTTAACGTTTTTTTCCTACACACAAAGTATATATACCGTAATGCTGCTAATGACTATGAGGTTTGTGTTTCAGAATACTTAACTCAAATACAGCTGTCAATTCGCTTTTGATTCAATGAAAATATGCATCAAACACTAAATATTTGTCTGTCTTTAATAATAATATTCTACAAATAACGCACGACCCAGCGTTTGTTAGTGGTAAATGCAGTGCGAGGTTTCTTTAGATTGGGGCCACCTCTGTGCACGAGCTTACAGTGTGCACCATCTGAAGATACCGAGCGTACACTGCATTTACATTACACACAATACCTTGAATACCTTGAATGCCAAAGCTTCTGGAAGAAGCCATCTCCAAGATTCCAGGTCTAACTTCAAGGGGGATGTCCCAGCTTCCGGGTCTTGCACCTTAGTCATTTTACATCTGTGTCTTGCTTGCTGGGTCATATCAGGAATGATAACAGTGTCAAGTGTGTTATTTGTTTTATAAAATAGCGACAAATGGAAATCAAAACAAACAAAAGATCTAGATCTAACGTAGGTCTATAGTCGGAGTCTAGGAGATTATGTTGGTACTAGAAAATGAAAAGATAAGACCTTGCACTTGCTCTACATGTACGCTGCGCTGGATATCGATCTTAGAGCGTGCAATGATACTCTTGACTGCGCTTTTTTTGGCGCGCGCTTTGATCGTGCATGCCCACAAAAAAGGTGCATGCACTATGAACATGACTGACAAACAAAGCGGACAAAATATACAGTTCGTCAGGTAGACAAAGGAACATCCCTTCACTGCTATTATGTAAAAATGTGTAGAACAGGTGTCACATGCATATTCACTTTTTACATAATAGCAGTGAAGGGATGTTCCTTTGTCTACCTGAGGAACTGTATATTTTGTCCGCTTTCTTTGTCAGTCATGTTCATAGTGATGGTCATGTCATATTGTCATGTCATATTGTCATGTGACGCATTTTGACCAATCACGATGTTTAAAATACTAGAGCTACTTTATAATGTCAATTATTTTTGTCCAACACAAAGATCTATGACATTTTGCATGGAAGCTTCTTTGAACTACTGATTCATTTTGAATTGTCAATACCCCCACCTGAAAATTTCTGAACAACATAGTCCAGATCTCAATCTAGTATTTTTTTTCCCATTCATATTCTTTTAAATCTATTTGATGAAACAAATCAGATTTGGCATTATTGCGCAAAGGAAATATATTTCTTACTGTAAGTGTAACATATGTAGTGATTGAACTCTCTTGACACATGTACACACCAAGGAAATGGCAGACCCCAAATAGCACTGCATGGGACTCAATCGTAAAAGATATCTTGAGTGATTCCCCCTCTCATGTTTTGATCTGACATAGTGTATAAGCTCAACAAATGGGAAAAATATTAAAATAATTAGTGCATTTCTCTTTAGAGTTAATTCTCCTTTTTAAACAATTATATGTTTGTGGAATATTTTATTTTTCAGGTGTACAATGCCTCTTCACTCAGCTGGTCAACCCGCATTAAAGGATTCATTGCCTGCTTTGTTATTGGTTGCTCACTATCCATATTGGTAAGTTTCAAGCATAATTATCTTCTCTAGTCATCAGCCATTTAAAAACCACTAAATATCCACTTGCATCTACATGTTTGTAGCTCCAGTGAAGGGTTCTGAATAAATCTATATTACTAATACGCAAAATCGCCGCGGGGGGTCCAAAACGGTTCCTCAAAAAGGTCTTTCCCCGACCCCGCTCGCCTCCGCCGTGGCGCGGGAACGGTGGCACAATTCCATGAGGCCTGTCTCCCGTAACCCGCGTGCCACCTCGACCCCGCGATCGACGTCCATGCCGTTAAACGCGGTTTCGGGGTTTCGGGGAGGACGGGCGAACGAAAGTACGGCGGGCGTCGTGGATTGCAAGGAGGCGACGAACCCGCGAGAGCGAGTTGACAAGGCGTGCTCCCGCCCTTTGTCTAATTATCAAAGAGAGACGAAGAGACACACAATAGACGAGAATCCACTCGCGTCAACGGGTGTAGCAAATCTCATCTTTAAACGGTGGGGCGTACCCCGAGTTAGACCTCTTACTATAGGATATGCTTTGTAGCGTGTCAGAGAAATAAACAGTAACCGATGACTCACCCGGGTGATGAGATGTAGTAAATCTACGCTCTGACGGGCTGGGCTTACCCGTGTTATGGATCTTGCTATAGGGTATGCTTTGTACGCCAGACGGCCTATGCCTGTACGTGCATGTATGCGATGATTTTACGCTCATGTCACACGCACAGTCGGTTTGCGACTTTCATTCTATGATTGCCGTGATTTGTGATTTGTATATAGTTAACGTGAATTAGAGGTATGAAAGCAGGGCTAACTTTGTGATTATTCCGTCCATGTTTACTGAATTTTGATAATCATTCTTCAAAGTAAAGTTTTCACAAGAAATCCATCGTAACTTACAGTTCAGTTGCAAGCTGGCTGCCTTGAGGCTTGAGTCCACACACGGACAGCGCATTGCGCCACTACACTGCTGCCGAGCACTGTCGGAACTGTGACTGTGTGTGAGCTGAGCTGGGCTACACTCGACATGCGCAAACGATGGACCTATTTTCGCGTAAAATCTTTACTCTGAAAACAATTATTCAAATTCTGTGATCTATACCAACATATTCATAGTCCAAGCTTCTGTCTTATAGGTCTTTTCATGAAAACTACATCGAAATGACAACAATAATAACGCTAATAGATCTGTGATAGTACGCCTAATCAATCATTGCACACACACAGAGCATACAGGATTTCAAATTCCTTCCAGCGCCCAACTCAGGCGGGTCATCACGGCGCTCAAGCCATCGTTTTACGCTGCGCCGCAGTTACTGCACTACACTGTATAGATTCGATTTCCGTATGTTTGATTTCGTTTAGCGTTGGTTATTTGAAACTTTTGAACTCCGAAAGAATATGTTAAATAGACTCTTGATGTTGGATTTCTTTTCTACTGACCTGTTAATGAAAGCATGAGGGATAAACAAAACAAAATAAGGACTGCTCTGTAATCGGATGGTGGTGGAAATTATCACTCCCTCGATTTCGTTCAAATACTGGCCCTTCTATCACCCCCTCGGCTTTGCCTCGGGTGATAGAAGGACCGGTATGAACACCACCTTGGGAATGATAATTTCATCCTCATGAGCAGTCAATATTTGTGTATTTTCACTGAGACCTCCGGGACCTCTCTGAAGTTCTTATCATCCATGCAAAATATCATTTTGTTGATCATTTTGTTTAATAGAACATGTAGTTGTAATAATGTATGTTAAGCCAAATTAAACAATTGTTACTCATGTTTTGATTAATTGGAACAAGTTCTAATTAGAGATGAGTGAAAATATGAAAAATGAAAATGGGAGGTTTGAGAACAGTATAATTCGTAAGAAACTGGACGGGAAAGGGATAATGGGAATAAGGATGGGAATGAATGAAAAACAATAATCATAAATAATGAAAGTGAAAACGAAAGTTAAAGCGTAAAATAGTTTGCATCAGTTTATTTACAAATTACTAATTTCATTTTTTCTTTTAATCTTCAAGTTTTAATATGTTACAAATAAAAAAAAACATTTCAAAATGATATATGAAACAGCAAACAAAAGGTTGATCATCTATCGAATTAAATATTATGACAAGAGTAGAAAAAGAATAAAAGGATAAAAAGTAGGCCTTTACCAAGAGGGAAAATGAAATTGAAATTAAAAGGGGGAAGAAAAAAAAAGAAAAACAAACATGAATATTAAAAATAGATCATCTAACATGAAAATTGAAAAAAAATTGATAGCACATCATAAATACAACCACGTACCACCCCCTAGAATCCCGTGGATTTTCCACGGGTCCTCCTAGTATAATATATAAAAGGCTTGGCCTGCAATCATATCATTACCCCTGGCTTTAGCCAAGCTTCCATGAAAAGGCGCTCAAGCATTCAAGGAATTTCCTCCTACCCGATACCCATTTACCTCACCTGGGTGGAGTGTGGCAAATGTAGATTAATATCTTACACAAAGACATTAGTGATATCAGTGGTTTTTCAATACAGGTCAACCATTAGTGATATCACTGGTATGTAGCTGGTGCTGCAAGACTACATAACCCAATCGTCTGATTTGTTCTTATTCTTTTTATGTGTGTAACCTTGCTTTTAGGTTCAAAAAAAAAAAAAAAATAAATAAAAATTATTGTAATTCTATTATTGCAAAATTATGTCCTGAAGTATGTTAAACTTTAACTTACCGGTATGTGTGTTTTACTTTCTTTCTTGAATCACTGGTTCGTCGTATGCCCACAATTATAATTATACAATTTTCACACAACTGCGCCAGGAGTGTCATTATTGACAGACATGGCGCATTATAAATGTTCACTATTTATTTATTTATTTATTCTTTGTTTCCTATAGGGTTCCTTCCTCCTCTTCATTCCATCGAGTCATAACCTTCGTACGTTTGCCGTCCTGTATTGCTTCGGCACCGTAATCGCTCTTTCTGGGTAAGTGAAAGAAAGGCCCCCCCCCCCCTCTCAGTGTTATTTAGGGTACGCATATGCGTGTTCCCAGCGACCCCCCCCCCCCCCCCCCCCCCCCCCCCCGTTTTCAGCAAAAGTCTGGTGTGTAAAGTCAATACGGGTCAACCTTTTTCTTATGTTATACAAACCTTTTTCAGCACACCCCCCCCCCCCCCCTTTTCAACAAAAGTTTGGTGTGTAAAGTCAATACGGGTAGACCTTCTACTTTTGTTACGAGCCAGAGAGTTTGGGAACACGCATGGTATCCCTCCGTTCACGGAGTGGGGGGGGGGGGCGGGAAGAAAGGGCAGGCAGATAAGAGTTTGAGCAGGGTATACAGGACAGTGAAGTTAATTTGGTAGAAATACACATCAGTAGGGATTTGAAGACAATTTTGATATTGTGTTCTAATTAATGTGAGATGTTAATTCATTTAAAAGATGTTACAGATAAAAGCTTGATCCTGCAGTCCCCTTGAAGGTACTTCTCTTCTAGCATATGTATATAATTATGGACATAATTGTTAAATATATTGATCATTATGCAGTACTGCATTTGCTATTGCTGTGTGCTAACAAATGATATAGCATGACAAGTTCAATATATTTTGTCATTTGGTGTCTAATCTGTTTAGGTTACTATTAGTATGGTACATCAGAAATATACTTTGACTTTAATGGTAAAGACCAGTTATGGTCATGCGATTGCATTGTGAAAGAAACGTTGTGGAATCGATCAGAAAAGGTTGATCATCTAGCATCTAGCATCTGCAAGGTTCTGGAATCATCAAAGTGATAAGAAATTTGGCCCATTCTTCGTAAAGTTACAAGCACTGTACACAGAAAGATGTATATGGGACTACCCTATATCTCTCACAGACCATGAGAGAAACAAATTTACCAAATATATGAATTATTAGGCAGTTTCCCGGCAAATTTTTTATCATCATGTATTAGTCAAAACATATTCTTTCACATGATTGGTAATGAGAGCTTCCATTTCATTTTTTGAAATTGGGGCATTTCCAATACTGGTCTTTACCTTTAAGCTTGGGTCTAATCAAAGCTTTGGTAGGGCTTGCAAATTAATACAAACATCAGGGCCCTGTCTTAAAAACAATTGTGATTAATCACAAGTTATTTGTGATTGATATCAATCACAACTATGTACATAAGAGATGGGAGACTGCAAACTCGCAATTGATTTGGATCAATTACAACTCTTTGACGGGGCCCAGATGTACTTGTACCATAAACTTGGATGTTGGTGATGTGTGGGACAAATTCGACAAAATACCAAATACCTGGCCAGCTCTACTCATTCGTTAATAATTTTGTTTGACTGTCTTCTTTTTTTCTCTAAAGGACCCTGTTTCTAATGGGACCCATCAATCAGCTGAAGAACATGTTTAAGGAGAAGAGGATTATTGCAACATTAATCATGATCGCCATGATTGCATTGACACTCATGTCTGCACTGTGGGTAAGTGGATTATAGTCTGGGGTAGTATGATGAATGATGAGGAGGAGGAGGATGATGATGATGATGATGATGATGATGATGATGATGATGATGATGATGATGATGATGATGATGATGATGAAGAAGAAGGATGGCAATGATGATGATGATGATGATGATGATGATGATGATGATGATGATGATGATGATGATTAAAAAGACATCAGCATTGTGGAAATGATTGTTATGGTGGTGGAGATAATGGTATTGATGATTGTGTTGATGATGATGATGAAGAAGAAAATGATGAAGGTGATGATGATGATAATGATACTGATACTGATGATGATGATGATGATGATGATGATGATGATACTGATGATGATGATGATGATGATGATGATGATGATGATGATGATGATGATGAAGATGAAGATGAAGATGATGAAACTGATGTTGATGTTGATGAGCAGCTTAATGCTGATATTACCACTACTAATGATGAGTAATATTTTGATGGGAGTGTTTTTAAGTATGAAACAAATTAAATACCTATTTTTGGAGGAACAAGAAGATTTATGCATGATATGATGCCTATATCTGTGCTGAACCTGCATGGAACATAATCATGGTTAGAGACTCTGTTGCTATGTCAGTAAAGGGCATGCCCAAGGTATTTTGGTAATTTGATTTCTCGTAGGTTACAACGTATTGTAGAGTTGAGCGTAATTATAGTGACATCAAAATGTGTCTTTTCATTCCATATTTGGCCTGTTAAAAGCTCCAATAGTGCTATTAACTACAGTTATCAGATACGGTAAACATGTATACTAACATGTAAGATGCGGTTTGTGATGTAAAGACAACAGCTCGGACTAGCCCTAAAGTTAACAAAATAAAATGGAATAAAGAAACTTTGAGGATTTTCTCTCTCTCTCTTTTTCTCTTTCTTACAGTGGGAAATCACCATTCTGGCAATCCTGTTCTGCTTTCTACAATTTCTTGCATCATTATGGTATGTATTAAAAAATTTCATCTCTTTTTCAGCATGATACACATTAAAATTACATTATTTATTAAGCTATTTAAAAAGTATTTTAAAAAATAAAAAAAATTAAAAATTAAGGATTTCACAATATACTAAAACAGTTAGTATTTTGGGAAATGATAGTTGACATAGTTTTCTTCATATCATATGATATGGAAACTTACAACTTTCCTGTCTGATGTTTCTCAAACCTTTTTGATCTGTGTTTGTGTTTATTCTGCCAGTAATTAAAACTTTGAAAGCAAGTGATTTATTTTTAGTCAGATGCGAAATGCTGCAAGTTCACATATCCAAATTATTGCTATTATTTTCAGACATTTTTACCCATTGTATTTGACACCTAGGTATTCCATATCCTACATCCCATACGCAAGAGATGGTGTGAAGAAATGCTGCGAGGGTTGCTTCGCATAGGTTCTGAGACGGAAGAGGGCTATGAGCCACAGTGTACAAAAGAAATCAACATAGACATGGCAAGAAGCTGCAATAAGTATCTGTCAATGCTCATATACCTGTAGGTAGGAGGGACAGAAAGATTTGTCATCGCTTCCAACATATGGGATACTTGTTTGCAATATATTTTCAATTTAATGTCCGTTTTCAGGACAAAAGTTTTCCTTGATAACGTGAAAGGCTCAACCAAGGAAGGTGCGACTTACCAGGCTGATACTTGCACGTAAAAAATGTTGCTTGGACTGATTCATTCTTGTATTTGGAGAAGCTGAAAGAAACCATAAAACATGCCACACCCCCTCCCCCCCCCCTCCCTCCCTCCTTTTAGTGATACCCCTGACTTCAGGCATATCCTCTCATATGCTTCGAGGTATTGCAAGATTCAAACTTTATTACTACTATAATACTATTATAAAAAGAGGTTATTTAGCACAATATTCATAAAGGCTTGTTCAGATATGACATAGTGAAACACCGCGTAAAAGCTGCTGCTCTTTCTTCACGGGTAAATGAAGGTCCTGTGCATATTCAGTGAGCTCTATGTAATAATAAACAGAAGCGTGAAGGGTATGGTATCACAATATATATGTAAGCACAAAAAAAATGGCAATGGTTTCGCCGTGCTAATTGTAAACAAGGCTTTAGGAGGCGGTTCCAATTTCCTGTGCTAAATGTAAACGAGGCTTAAGACAGCGGTTCCAATGATAGTACCAGATTGCATATCCAAACAGAGAACAAACTGTAAAACCATAAATGTTTGCATGCATGAAACTTTCGCGTATTTCATGAAGAGTCCAGATTCGTAAAAGTTAAGGGCGTGAAAGGTTTTGGTTATACAATGCATCGAATGCCAGTACAGTGCCTTCAAGCATTAAGCTGCACAAGTAAAATGACTGGTATGGGTGGATGTATAAAACTAGCGCACGATCATTCATGACCACAACTGCCTGTCTGAGTTTAATGAAAGTGTATTTCAGAGGCATGATCGTTTGGCTTAAATGACATTGATACAAGATTAGTTTTACAAAGTATTATAAAATATATGAGATATATATATCTTTATATCTATTTTTTTCCACGTTCAGCCATTTATAAACCTTTCATGCGGTGTAAGAGACTCTTAGCTACAATTCGCGAAAGTTGCATGTAGCGAAAGTTTCTGTTTTACAGCACCATTGATAAAATATATATCAGAAGCTTTGGTGTAATTAATATTTGATTTTTTTTCTTTCCAAAGGCTATTTATCTGTACAGAAATGCACCTATGTAGAATAGAAACCTTTTGTTTTCAATCTTTCTACTTATATTTTCTATGATATTCAGAATTATGAAGTTCAATTTTTTGTTCTTTCTTTTATTTATTTTTTTATAAAGGGAATTTATTTCATTTGCCTTACTCTATATTCTATTGTCAGCATTTTAGTATCATCTTGATCAATATTTTTTTCCTTCTCAGCTTCATGATTAAGTGCCCTTATCTGATGAGGTAAAATTAGGTTTAATACAGCAGTAGTACTTACATGTAGATGTATTTATTTACTTTTTATTTTATTGTCAATGATTTGAACATTGTGTTAAACTGAGATGTGAAGGCGAGAATTAAGTTCAGTATAATATATGAAGTCTACATTATCATCACATCAATTGCATATGAACGTGATTTGTATTAGTTTAGTCACATTTGGAAATTTTGTAGTTGTAGGACTTGTAAAATCGAATTAGTCCTGCCAATTGATTAGAATGTGATCTATTTATAACTCACTGTTTCTGTGACATGAATCAATTTATTTCATGACGCATGCCAACTTTCTAGTGTCTTATGGTAAATCAAACTGCACCTGCCATGCCCTTCTGGCCTTACATGCATGTACATTGGGGAACCTCTGTCAAATTTATCGAGACCAAGAAAATGAACTTGTTTTATAGAATCCTTGTTTTCTCAGAACTAATAAACAATAGAATACAAAGAAGTGGGGCTCTCAAAATTACCTTGCTATAATGAATGTTTGCAATTGTCTTCTGTAAAACGAGGTAACACTTAACATTTGCTCCAAGTAGTTTGTACAGTAATACATGTATTGGTTTCATGTTTCTGGTTAGAGTGTTTGTACGTGTACATGGTTACTGAATGTGTTTGACATTGAAAAGAAGTGCAATTTGGTTACTGAATACTGATGGCAGTTTCATTGTTGGATCGGGTTTAATATTCTGTCCATAGTATCACTCAATAAGAAGAAGAATCAAAGGGACCCGTGGATCCAGCAGTTTAATGTGTTAAATCTACCAAATATAAACGCTGGCACTACCTTGCCATTTCAAAATTAGAGTGTGCTCCTGTTAGAATACGCTGCAAAAAAATGTGGGCAACAATGTAACAAATAAGTTGAAAACTGTGTCTGTAGTACAATTCTTTAAGGAGAAACTGAAAGTTAAGTTTTAAAGTTCATGAAATGACAATCTAAAATTATCTATGTGTGACATCTTTCCACGTTTATTCAAATAATTTGCCAGCATCAAAATAATATTTGGGCCAATCGATCTCTTTGTATACATTGAGTTAATTTAATTGAAATATGCATAGTAGTATTTATCAAATTCATCAAAATTGGTCTTTATGATATTGATGTGACATGTTTTTATTGTTTAATGTAGTCCATTATGTGTTAATCAAATGATCTTCCAAAGAAAAGAGTGTCTTTAGAAAGCAACCTTGAGAGTACTTTCCAAAAGTACTGAATCATATTTTATATCAGAATCTTGAAGAGTTAAAATCTGCCTTTTTGAAATGACTGTATAATGTGCTTTTTCATTATGGACACAAAATATATGATATTATATCAAAAGTGCCAATTACAGTTTTGGTTCATGTGAAATCATATTTATTTTTATCATAAAATCAGTAAAACTTTATCTATGATTTATGAAGATTGGGCCTCATATATTTTTGTGGTGTAATACTTTTTGTCGAGTTCTAAAATCATTTGTTTGTAAATTCATTTTCTGCAAGCGCTGTACTTTTTTCAAGTTACCTTATTCTATGTAAGATTGTGAACATTGTCATAAAAGTGGCATGTCTTTTGCATTTCTATATTTAAGTTTATGTGCATAATGTGAAACAAACATAGCAGTTTGTGTTGTACAGTGGATATATGCTGATCAAAACTATTGGCATTCATCAAATGCATTAATTTTCAATAAAAAGTTATTGGAATATGCAGTTTTCCAATAATGGATCATTCTCTACCAAGCACTGTAAACCTGGTGATTAACAAAAATGTTTCAAACTTTCATATTTAGATGGTGTATGTAAAGTGATAGTAATTTTGCCTGTAAATATATATCAATATGGAAATACAAATATACTGTATTGTTGTCTCATTATATTGCATTGCTGTAAAACTGTACTTTATTGCCATGTATCTTAATAATGGCAACTGCCTATTCTTATTTTTTCTTAAACTTGTAATCTCCACACATAAGAATAGTTATGGTTTATGGGTTAACAAAGAAAGAAATATCAGTAGTAAAGATTACAATTTAAACAGGCTATAGAGATTTTGTCTGTCCTTTCCCTTTTCTCTAAGGATTCTTAAGAATATTCCTATCTTCTTTATCAATTTCTTCATACTCTTCTTTGTCCTATTCTACTTTCATCTGTTTCTCCCCACTTCTTTCTTTCTTTGATTTTCATGTCTTTTCCCTTCCCATATAGTGAGTTAATCATAAACACATGCGTATGTAACCTTCAAATCATTAACATTTACACAAAGTCTTTAGGTACACCTTATAATAATAATAATAATATTTAGCTTTTATATAACGCTTAATACAATGTCTCTAAGCGCTTTATAAATATACATTACTACGAGTAGCAATAATCCACCATGATAATGTTTATCTTGTGAATATATAGGCCAAGCTTTTAAAAAATGTAGACAAATAACAAAGAAACGAAATAGAAATCAACTATTTAGAATAAGGAGAGGGAATGAGAAATAAACGAATCCCAGTTGACGTAGATAATGACCCTGCATATACTTTATACCTCATTTCCCCCTCTTATTCGGGGTAGTACTGCAGAATTAGGGAAGGGGCACGACTGGCCCATGCCCCCGTTTTCAAACCAAATTGACAAAAAAAAATATATGTCCTCTTACCCCCCCCCCCCCGCTTATTCAGCGGCTGTCTGAGTCGTCGCGAAATTTTCGGCGCGATTTTAATATTTAACCCCCCCCCCCCCCACCCCCTCCTTCGAAAAAAATCCTGCGTACGCGCCTGTCTTGAACACTAATTGCTAAACTGCACCCGGCCCTCCACTCAGGGTACGCTTATGCATGTTCTGTTTTGAAAGCACCCCCTAAGTCCGGTGTGTAAAGTCTTTTTTTGTGTACGTACTACGAGCAGGACTTTGGTGCGTGAAAAGTACCCCTTTACCAGGGAGGTGAGACTTTAAAGACTTTTATGACGTATCGGTATCGGATCTTTATACTGTTGAACGTGCTTACTTCCAACCATGAGCGAGAAAAAGAATGAGAATGATAAACAGTGTTGGCATCATCAACTTTCGTGATCTTTGATTCCCAAATCTACTGGTCTACATACATTACAGACATACTGCATGAGAGTAAGTATGACATAAATATTGTGCTCTTAAAGACACCTGTATATCAATTAATGTTGTCGCATGCTGCCCATTAGCCCACCCAGTTTATGTTCATGCCCCCATGGAGAACAAATCAAAGTATTGAGTTATGTAATCGTATTTATGTAAAGCAGGACAAGAACAGTATGCTCGTTATCATACCCTTGAATTAGTTGGACATATATTGATTTGTTGGTTAATATAATTGATTGATTGATTGGTTGGTTAGTTGGTTGGTTTGTTGGTTGATTGATTGATTGGTTGATTGGTTGGTTAGTTGGTAGATTTGTTGGTTGATTGTTTGATTGTTAATTGTTGGTTGGTAGATTGATTTATTGATTGGGTGATTAGTTGGTAAGTTAGTTGGTTTGGTTGATTGGTTGATTGGATGCTTGATTGTTTGATCGGTTTATTTTTTTTCTACAAAATTGAATGATTTATCGATCAGTTGATTGATCAGTTGACTGATTTATCTATTGATTCATTACTGTCGATTATATGATTAAGTGATTGATTAATCCATTATTGGGCAGTTTAATGATGATTGATTTGATTGATTCGATTTGATTTAATTTGATTTACTATGTATTCAATTGTACGCATACTGTGATAATGGTTGCTTTTGATGACAAACTTTGCCCGGGGCTTACCCGACATAACAAATTAAAAAGATATATAACTGAAGGAGTATACAAGAAGCTTTGATAGTGTATAACGAATTTAGATATGTCTGTATCATGTGCATAGTTAATTTTTTGCTATTTGTGCAAGTCAAACAGTCCTTGAGTAGATTTACGACATGTTTTTCGGCAGTGCCTGCGTGTTTTTCGTCCTCAGTGGAATTTCTATTGCATAAGCCCAGGGCCACGCTCGTCTATAGAGTCTGCCCTTGTCTTACGTAACGGCAAGGACCAAGCGCGGATCCAGGATTCTTAGGGGGGGGGGGGCAAATTTGAAATTATGCGAGCCAAATATTAGTACGTAATGGTAAAATCGGCAGTGGCAAAAACGTTGGAGGGGGGGGGGGGGGGGTAGACAAAAAAAAATCCCCATCACCTCACTCTTACAGGCAGGCCCCGATGAACGTTTCTCGGGGGGGGGGGTCAAGGGGTGGAGCCCCCAGAAGCTCAGGGGTCTTATACATTAAATTACCGTCAGATGAGCATACTTTGATACCTTATTTGTGACTCTGGCAGGTCACGAATTGACATGGGGTCCAGGGGGCGAAGCCCCCAGAAGCTCAGGGTTATTGGGCAATAAATTCTGGTCAGATGAGCATATTTTGAAACCTTATTTGTGACACTGGCAGGACACAAATTGGCGTGGGGTCCAGGGGGCGGACCCCCCGGAAGCTCGGGAGTTTTAGGCATCTTATAACGGTCAGACAAGTATTCAGGGGCCCGCCTTAGGGCCCCTGGTGGGATCGAGGGGGCGGAGCCCCGGAAACTTAGGGGTTTTAGGCATTTAATTACGGTCAGATGAACATATTTTGATACCTTATTTGTGACTCTGGCATGACACTAATTGGAGTGAGGTCCATGGGGCCGAGACCTCAGAAACTCGGCCTGCTCAGGGGTTTTAAGCATTAAATTACTGTCAGATTAGCATACAGCCGTACGCCTTAGGGCTCGAGGTGGGGTGTAGGGGCAGAGCCACCGGAAGTCAAGGGGTTTTAGGCATTTAATTACGGTGAGATGAGGATATTTTGATACCTTATTTGTGGCACTGGTGAAATCCAGGGGCAGAGCCCCCGGAAGCTCAGGGTTTTTTTTTTTTTTTTGGGGGGGGGGGGTTGGGGGGTCGGAAATTGGAAAATTACGTCGTCAGATATTTCGTTCAGTGGCTTGGGGAGGGGGAAGGAAAAAAAGGGAGGGGGCGGCCCCCGGCCCCCTGAATCCGCCACTGGCAAGGACAGACACTCGATGAATAGGGACTTTTAGAATTGTCGAACGACAATGTGGATTGCTACGATCGACGTAATTGTAATGCACTGCCTTGAATGGACGTCACACGTATCAGTCCACGCAAATCTAAAAGTCCCTAATGAACCCGAGTGGAGGCCAAACCTTGTCCTGTTTAAGACAGACTCGAGGTCGGATTGTTTTCTTGCTGGAAGGTTGTCCGGCTATAGAAAACAATATAGCTTCCTATATAAAGCCAGGGAGATTTAAAATCGAGGGGCTTCTCCTCAAGACTTCTTCTTAAAGACTTATCGTCGAGACTCCTTTCTGCCGCTTTCCAAATCTGCAAGCGTTCTGATAATACACTGTACATGACTTATTTAGTGGCAGTTTAGAGAGCACGGTTTCTACCGAGCTGTCATTATTTAAAGTAATAAACGACGAATAGAACTGAAATTCACGATCGACCTACTCTATTTCTTCTGTGACATTTGTTTTGTATACACGCATGACACATGAATGAGAGAGATACTGAGCAAGAAGAGACAAGAGTTCGAGATCGAGAGAAGTCTGTATTAAATATTTGTAATAAATTTCGTTACAATATAAAGAAAATGTGAATTAAGTTGTTGCTCACCAAGATTTTTTTGGGGGGATCACATTTAAGTTATTAAGCTCCTTTTTAAAAGTTTTAAATGTCAAATTTTGCACAAATTATTTTTTAGAAATGGAGTCATCAAGAGGACAAGAGATCTCAATTTTAAACTGGAAGTGGGGTTACGTCATCATACTATGCATGTTCGTGATAAACATGGGGTCTGGGATCACCAAGGCTTTCGGCGTTCTCCTCCCAGTGATGGTTGAAAGATTCAACATAAATTACGCCATAGTAGGCTTCATCTGCAGTTTACCCGGTACAATCATGCTCTTTTCAGGTGAATTATTTGATTCTTTAAAGGACAATAGACTGTAGATCTATATTTTCAAATGTATCAAAATTTGTAAGACGTATTCATAATGGCTTTCAATTAACACCCGTCCCTCTATCGACACACACGCACACATCCAAACACGCACCCGGACACTCATGAATGACGCATGATATCCCTGGCAACAGGGGTGGACTTTTCATGGGGGGGTTGTAGAGATTTCTACACAAACCGCTTGTCATTACAACTTTCATGTCAACTTTCAATATATCGCCCTAACCCTTTTCAATGTGACACACTTATATAAGCTTATGTGTTGCTGTCTCGTCCTTCTGATTTTATGTACAGATTTGGATAGAGATGACGGGGTGGGGGACAAAAGACCTGAGGGTCATGGTGATTCAGTTCACCTTTTCTTGTCCCAGGCATCCCCGTCTGCTCTGACAAAATCTCTTCATCTGTTTTATATCACGATCAGTCTATTGTTTTATTTGTTTTACCTGTTATATATACCTTTTTCTTCTGAAATGCCGAATAAATAATGATGATAATAAATGTATATACATATATATATATATATATATATATATATATATATATATACATATATGGTTGTATTGTTGGAAGGATATTGGCATTGATATGTACACAAAATATGATGAGGTTGAATCGCATACCCAGTCAAATTTAAAGAAATATGGATTTTACATTGATATTTCTCCTTCCTTTGAAGTTCATATATTGGTGTATATTGGTACCCCCCCCCCCCCCCCCCCCCCCCCCCCACTCTGAGCACAGTGTTTCGTTAAGTTCTATAATTCATTCGATGTACATGCAGGTCCTTTCGTTTCCTTGGTCCTCCAGAGAGTAGATCATCGAATTGTGGCCATGTTATTAGGAGGGGTAATAAGCGGAGTCTGTCTGGTAGCGTGCGGCTTCATCTCCAACATTACCGGACTTGGTTTCATGCTGGCACTCACAGGTATG